TTTTCAGTACAAATGCAAATAACCAACGACACTAATAATGTACTACTATATTCCGTTCTTTGAAACGGAACACTGCTATAATACAAAATAATGAAAAATTACTGTTCACAACGATTCATTAAAAGCATCATCGAATAATGCGTAATAAAATCCTGTTATCGATTATTAAAAAAAATCGATAATACATGTATTTATTTATAATATGACAACACTTCATACATAAGTATTATTGGAAATATTATTACTTGCTTGTTCGGCTATTTTTAATTTACTTAAAAAATTTTTATATGTTTAATTTACAATAATAATATATTAAGTGCTTATTATTGGAAAATATAAAAAAGACATTTAATTATGCCGATACAAATTGACGACAATGCCATCTATGAAAGCATTTTGAAAACATTGAGCCCCATATTAGCACTGATTAAAGTGTAATTAAGTACTGGAAAATAACAAAATGAGTAAATATATGAAAATTACTTTTCTAAACGCATTATTTCATTTTGACATGTATATATAACTTTTTAAAAATTGATTAAACATTTTTGAAAACACAGTTTTGTTTTTTAAAACGTTTGCAAAACTATGAAGAATTCCATCGATACCAATCACGCCATCTATATGCAACTTTTAGCAATAATAATGGCTACTTCCTCATTGAGTGCCACTGCTATAGGTATTGTGAGGCTCTTTTCTATGTGTGCCAAGAATTTCCTTGCTACTGCGCAGTACTAATCATGCAAGGCGGATACTGTAATAGTATCTCTAGATATTAGTTCAAAGATTTCTATTCACAAAATACATGAACGAAGGAATTTTGATATCTCTGAAGTTACGAATGTAAATATCTGTTCTTCAATATTACAATATTTTAGTTCTCTGTCACCGTAATAAAATATCATCTCCCTAGAGATGAAAAAGACAACTACGATCCTAATAATAATAGTACACTCAGCTTATTTATGCAGATTACCTCTTTATCTGGCCCTAGGGCTCGCATAAAGATCATCTTGAGCTCCGTTTTCTGTTCTGTAGCTCGTTAAATATGTAAAAACAACAACAATCGCATAAAGTAACGACATATATTAAAATATTTCAATCATAACATCTCATGTATATAACCATTTTATTCAGATCACGTTTAATAGTTATATAAAATATAAAAGAATTATTTAAAATTATCAGCACATTATTAACTCATTGTATTTAGGAGTAAATTATCATCATCAATGCCTTCCTTTTATCCCATTTGGGGCCAGCGCAGTATGTACGTCATCATTCCTCTAGCAACATTCTTCCAGCGTTCCCTAACATTCGTCATATCTGAGTTTACTCTCCTTTTATGGATATCATCTTTCATACATTCCATCCATCTTTTAAAATACTCCCTATACACCAATCCCCTTTCATATTAAAAGATTTCCTTAACACTTTCCTATTAGAAATATTTTATACATTTGGAAATAAAATTGTAATAAAAATATTAAACAATTTCTAATCAAACATGCACTGGTTTTCTTTTCTATTGTAATTGGATTACGATGACTAGCGGTAAGTAACAGACAAGCACATACTTGCGTCCTACTATTCGTAATTTGTTGTAATACTATTACGAGATTATAGCGCATATTCGAGGTTAATGTATAATTGATGAAGTAACATTGAATTCTGTAAGCTAGTTACCTTTAAAGTTAAGCTTACATTTGTATTAAAAATATTTATAATAAATATGTGTTCTATAAATTTTATAAAATAAATTATATAATTTCTTTTTTAAATTTATAGAATAAGGCTATATATTATTCTAATGTTATCATCGTAATGTGATAACTAAACGAGATAAATTATTTATCTGTACTTAAAAGTTTGATCATATGTACATATTATCCTTATTTTTCTCCTCATTTCAAACAAACCTTTTCGTTATTCCTATATGTTCATAAAATACACACATGTATAAATTGCAATGTGGGAGATAATTATAATTCCAGCGGCGTCCTAAACATCCCTTGGGCATGTCTGGCATGGGGCATTCTTCATAAAATACGTCAACTTTTATGCCGCGCAATCGCCAGGGGGTACTCAGATTTACACAACTGGAAAGCGTATGCTAATTCAAAAGGTGACATATTAATGTTTTGGAGCCCTAATTAGGTACCAAGTGAGATGCTGGGCCCTTATTAGATGGCTTATGTTAACTTATACATTTAATGTATATTGTCAATTCGTGTTGGAAAAAATATGGGGAAAGATCAAAATACATACCATACATATCACATGAAACAAATGCTCTTCATATAAGGAAAGATCAACTCTGATTGATTATCTGTCCTATTTCAACGGAGACCAAAATTATGACGGCCTGAGCCGAATTTTGATTCTCTGGCATTCGCTCCTATTTTCTTTCAATATAACTATAAAGCATAGGTGTAGCCAACAACATTATAATGGTTCAAAAAAAAAAGTATACAGTTATACAGTTTCATAATATTAGCTTATTATGATATACTTATAAAAACATACGTACTATCTGCTTCAGACGATTGTAGATAAAATTTTGTACATATGTATATTAAACGACAAAATGGTATCATCTGTTAAAATGATTATTTTTAAGCATTATTGTATAGTACTAAAATTATTAGTGTATTTTTTTATGTAACAACCATCATACACATGAGTCGAATGGCATACCTCGTATGTATATTTGTTACTGAATTTTATTCAAAACGTATAATAATAACTTAGTTATTGCTAAGAATGTCATTTCTCTACACGTGCTCTCTAGTTATAAACCTCAATACTCTGATAAAACACCTTAACAAATGTTTCAACAAATGCTTTATAATTCCATTTGTTATAAATTCATTTAACACTTGATTGATTTTTAATTGTATCAGTATTTGATAATACTTTAAACAAACTCTCTAATACTTATATTACTTCGTTCTTCAGTTTTGTTTTTCAAATTACTATGCGGTTAAAACATTACTGGACTGTCATACGTTTATACATACGAGTATGTTATTACAACACACGTCTCTAGTTTAGTAGGTCTTATGTGGGTGTTCGTTTTTTACATCTAACTGTAAGAATATATTTGTATATTAATAAAAAATCCTGTAGATAGATTATATACATATATACGTATTCAAACATTTTAAAATCTACCTAAGTTTTTTTGGCGTTGACGTAAGACTGATCAATACGTACAATAAAAACCTAAGTTTTTATTTTTTTAATCGTCTTCAAATTCAATGAACGCATATACAGTTTTTAATTTTCTTTATCGGATTACATGAATGCTATTATTATAGTTAGACGTAGAATTCTTATACTCAGCAAATATTGTTATTTAGTTTTTTTTCTTAACTATTTTCGTATTTATTCCTTTTATTATTGTACCTGTCTGTCGACAGAATAATAGACAGTCCGGGAATAATTACAGTATCTCTTGTAAAATAATATTCGATAATATAATCAAGATGTTAATAGTTACAAATAGTTTTTTATGCGTGGTTGTTATCTTGTTACAAAGGTAATAAGATCAGCGATCCCTGGCAAGCTTTGCGCCATCGTCACATCACATCTTATTTATCGGAGACCCGCCTACTCTATGTTGGTCTGTGGATCCGAAGGCGGACTTCTAACTCCCATGATTTATTGCTAACATTTCAGATAATAGCTATTCGGGTTCTAGTTTTTGCCGCAACTAGACTTTCAACCGGTTGGTAATGAATAGGTACTTAATTAATTTTATCTTTGTGGCGTACTACAACGTGAGTTTTAAAACATGTTCAAGGTTCTTGCAAACTTTTATTTTTAAGATGGGAAATATGCCGTTTCATTGTCTACTATCTAATACAATTTGTGTTACTAAATTCACACGTGATAGTTAATTGTATAGTTCTACTGTATTACAAATGCAAACATGACTACGTATATTTGTCTATTACGAGTACGATAGTATTTATGATATATTTTTTTATAATACCAATTTCAGTTACAAGAACTCGTGCGGTATTTATTCAAATATACATATATTTAGAATCTGTTGTGTCATAACTATTTGTGAGTTCATACTGGTAAACAAATGTCGTATTAGAAATTTGAATGGAGAATAGTGGATTGTTTTCCATTCTTGCGTCAGGTATTTATTTCAATCAATTGAATTTACTTACCTTTGTTTGCCACCTAAATGCCGGCCATTTATCATCAATATACACACAAAAGTGGTCGACAATCCGCAAAAGTAGTTCAGTAAGGTGTACAAGAACGAGTTGTTGGTTGTCTTATTATAACTATAAGTTATTATAATAATGGGAATTTATGATATTATAATTGTCATTATGATTTATATTACTAACATTAGCGTTACAAATATGTTAATTCAGCAGATATCAAAATACGGATTCAGTGTATCGGCACAGGTTTTAGCAATTATACGGTAATGGTCTTGTATAACTTGATCTACTTACATTCTTGAATATGTAATTTTATTTTAACTATTCTTGTTGATATTAAGTTGTTAGATGTTTAAGTGTATTGACAACCTGCAATCAACGCTTCTCGGTTTGATATTTTCCTATTTTTGTCAATTGTAATGCAGAAAACTGTGTTAAGGGAAATTATATAATGTAATTGTATGTTGTATAAGGAAACGAAGGCAATAATTTTCTGTCAATTCAATTAAAACATACACAATATTTTAAATTTATTGACAGAATATTTGGTTTGGTTTGGTTTAATTTTATGCATTTCATAATATATTTACAATAATATCGTACTTTATACGTATAGTTTTCTATAGATTCATATAGATTTCTATTTTCTTATAATAAAAAAATAGTAATTGTCTTAGAAAAAAGGTAGATACAAAGTTTGGCATTAGAAATTGATTTCCTTTAAAAAGACAAATAAGACCTAAATGTATTATAAATACGTTGTATCGATTTCACAACTTAGACTTTATAATAATTTATTTATTCTTGTTACAGTGAGATGGCGCGGTGGAGCGCGCTGATCCAGCATGGACAATCACCCATTTGGCTCATCGTGCTGTGCCTACTGCATGCTGCGAGAGGGACACCTGGTAAGATTACCTTCCACTTTTTTTTAAATATATTGTTTAAATTAGTAGGTTTGTTTCTTATGTCTGTTACTAGATAGTGCTACTAGACTTGGCTAGTTTTGACTTTGTCCTATGCAAATATTAAAATTATATTTTTTTTACTTTATTTGTCATTGTGGTGAATGTAGGCAGTGTAAATAGTTGTGTGTTTTATTGTACTGCCTTTTATGGTAAATAATGTTCAAATATACAACTTTGAATATCATTAATCAAAAATATGTATCGTATTCGATTATATTCTATTTGTATCTATGTAAACATAAATACACTAGATGTACAATCTAACTGTTACTGATATTAGGCCTGAATCAGTTTTCTTATATATATTTCACTCACATTAAAAAGATCTTAAAATTTATGCACGGTATATACATATATATAACACTATATATATCTTTACCACTTTCAACACTGAACTATGTTTTTATTATTTCTGTAGTACTCGTATATGCATAATTTGTTCACATCTTGTAGAAGTAAATTGCAGTTGGCGGTCGATTGCACCTGTATGAATATTTTTATTATAGGCATTCTTCACTACTCCTGTTTCACACAGATGTAAAAATTTAGATATACAAGAAATTATGGTTAAAATGTGAGCCTAAAACATATTCTACCTACCAGATACTTTATGGATATGCCGTAAAGCAACAATAAATTTCAATGTACAATTAATAACGTGTTGACACGTAGGTACGCGGTTTTAATATATATTTGGAATGGCAAACAATTAGAAGGCACACCTGATGGTAAACGGTAATCGTCGCTACATGAACAGCACTGTAATTACAGATCTACTGAAGGTTAGTAGCTACTTTACTCCTTTATGTCTAATATAAAGAATTGAGGCAGCTACTCGATAAATTGTATTTTATTTAAGTATCTTACTGTAATAAGTACTTGAAGGAACTATTCGCTAACTAATGAGTAGAAATACGCAAACTATTCAATACATGTGCTAAACGGGACATACTATGCTTTCTAATTGGATCAAATACCTATAAGGCTGGCTTCTATTCGATAATACATTTAAGAGATACAAAGTACAATAATGTACTACAAGCGTACTAATTAATAGTGTCATTTATGGATGTAATGATATTTTTTGAAATCCTGATTTGGTGACACATAACACAAACATGATAGAATGGTTCTCAGGCTCGCCATTAGTAAAACATGGAATGCTATTTGCTTTTTGTTGGACAAAGGGTAGGGCCTACTTTTGGTAGTTATTAATCTAACTTTTTCCCTAATTAAAGTTATAAATGGAAACATGATCGGTTTAGGTGGGTACTTTTCGTATTCCTACATAAATTCCTAAGTATATAATATTGTTTGTTTTGATTTTATTTAACCATGCCTTTTCTGTTCGTTTTTTATTATTATAGAATAACAGGCATGACATCTTAATCCTCCAAAATGCTATACATGAGTGATGACGGGCGTCAAATGATAACATGATGTTCATTGTATATAGGCGACGCTAATCGCTTACCATCAGGCTTACCATATATTTATTATTACAACGAAATGAATTTAATATTATATACAGTCTAATATTGTTACCAATATAAAAATACAAGTACAATAGTACATGTATCAGCAAATATTTACTGTGTTGATCTAAGACAATATGGTTAGCATTTTTAAGTCACTAATTTAAATTTATCTTGTACCCTTATGATTTTAAATATACCTTTATTTTTACATCGTTCTCTGTACATAAGTCACACTATGCATATAAAAAGTATTTCACTATCATCATTATAAGCCTTGTTTATGTAGAAACTCTTACAAAATTAATTTGGTAAGTATGCCTGTAATTCTAGTAATGTTATGTTCCATACGGGTTTATTAAACCGCTAGAGGAAACGCGAAGCTGTCATTTGCGTAAGCGTAGTCAAGGGAAGAAGCTAGTTTATACGCCATTAAAATGTCGTAGAGTTTAATACGTAATCTTCAAGGCCTGAGAATTGTCTATAACCACAAGAAGCGACATTTATTGCTGCGTTAATGTTTATCCTGTAATATTCTGTTATGTCTAATTCCATTTCACGATGCTTTACGGTGCGGTTTACACGCCACGTTTAGAAAGGTAACAATAAAATTAGAAACACATTTGAGAGTTTTGTCGTTACATATTTGACACATATCCTGTAAAGTGATTGCTGTAAGTATACTTACAACTTTTATAACGTTGAGAATGGATTTTCCGTACAAATTTTACCAAGGTAGTCTTTTTACAAAGTCTTGTGCATGTGTAGGCTTACTCACACTCAGATTGAAGCATGAACTAGTTGAAAACAAAGTAAAATATTTTCGTACTCTTCGTATTATTGACAATAAAATATTTATTATAATAAAAAATGACACCAATTTAACATATAAGATAAAACATTGTTATCTATATAAAAAAGCTATAGTAATAAAAGCTTTGGAACATTAAGTAAATTGAACAGAAACGCGAAGTAAAGACTTAATTAGTCGAGCTAACGAAGGCATGCATTTCGCAGTGCACCTGTCCTGCCGTTATTTATGACTGTTTGTTAGTTTTACCTGGACTGTTTCATTCGTTTACCATTTTATACTTCCCTGTTACGTCTGTTGGCAATTCTGGTTACAATATACTGTATATTTAATTTTGCTATCTTCTGTTCTATTACTGTTCTGTAACTTTATGTCTTCATGAAGAAAGTTAACTTGTAACTAGATTTAGTAGATTTTATTTACATTAATGTAGATTGATTTGTTTTATTTTTTTAATTATTTCAGGTCCATGTGAAGTGGAAACCGGGCAGTCGAGTATTATCGTCGATATTGAGGAGAGTAGAGGAGATCGTAAGTATAAATCTTTTTGTGTATTTAATTTACTACGAGTTATGGGGTATATTTTTTGTTTCGGGGTAAGAAATGTTTATGTCAAATTATTTCAAAGTAAAAATGATTATTACTTGCGCGGTTGTCTGTATTTTCGGTCTGTCTTCGTAATGCCATCTATGTATCTTAATGTCGATTCATTCAACCGTTTAGACGTGAAAACGCAACAAACAGGTCTTACAAATAGATAGGTATAAGAGACACTTTCGTATTTATAATAATAATATAGACAAGGTACAAGTTACATATAGTATTTGTTACTTGATAGATACAAATACATCTAATTTAGCGGAAAATTCATTACAATTATACAATCATTATCAAAATGAGTCATAAAGTTCGAAAAATATTTTTATATTTGGAACGTTATTTAGTTTATAATAACCATTGTATTTTTTTCTTAATTGCAGAAGTCAACCAAAGCACAATACCATCAGAACTACCAATAGTCGGCGACCCAGATGTAGATGTAGTGCTTTCCACCGTTTTTCCCAAAGGTCCGACTCTATTCCAGCTTGATGGCAAGCGATTGCAGCTGTTACAGCCACTGGACAGAGATGCAGACAATCTATCACATATGGTCTTTCAGGTGATTGTTACATTATTGCTTTATAATCGTTATAAAAATAATATCAATACTATATAATTTAGTGTTTGAACAGAATTGTTTATGAATTCATATTAGGGGTTATTATTATTATCAAAATTGAAGTATACATCTGTATATTATAAATGTATATAAAAAAAATACACACAATAGTACTTATTTAATTTTTTTTTTTGCAAAATTGCTCTATACTCATCATATATCATTAAACTATTCCTGATAAACATAAAAATAAATTTTTACATACGCATAATAAAAAATCTAAAAATGTGATTAGACATTTTGCATTAGTGAAAACGAACCAGTTACATGTTTGTACTTTTTATCGAGTACATACAAATATATCATTTATTTTTTGTATTGCTTCTCTATTCAATGCACCTGTTTTTATCAGTTACCTAATTATAATATCGCCTAAAGGCACCTCCACGTTAATTGTTAGTCGAAGTTCAAGATGACTAATGAAGTGTCTATTCGCAGTTGGTGTGCCAAGTGAAAGCGACGAAGAAACGACGGACCATACCAGTTATAGTGAGAGTCTCTGATATCAATGATAACGCACCTGTGTTTCAAGGAGTACCGTATGAAACTAGCGTGTCGGAGGTGAGGAATGTTATGTTACTAATTTAAAAAGTATGTTAATATACTCCATAGTGTTAGCGATTTTTAATGCTTTCTTGTTTTTGCGGCATTATAGATTTTGCGGTTAACTTAATAGATATAAATGCATGGATTTAAAATTAAGCTACTGAAACTTTTTTTGCTGCCAGGAATCTAAAATATTCTGAATCGATATTTTCCGGTAGTTTCTTAAGTTGCAAATATTGAAGATAGAGAATAACTTGTACATAATACTCTTAAGGTTTTTTGTGACTTACCTACTTGGTACTTGGGTATAATATTACTTCATCTTGACCTCAATCTTCAGGCGTGAAACACGCGCGTTGTTTGTTTCAAGGGTCAAATAGTAATAATGATTTTTAACACAAAACATCCATACAAATCTTTGAAGTAACAATCAATAATACGTGAAGTAATGATGGTATTTCTATATATTAATTCCTTACATTGTCATTAGTGACATAAATAAATATAATAAATAACGTAATGGTGATAATTGTGTGGTGCTCCCGCCTGTAATGTACGATGATAATTGTGATATATCTTGAGTTGTATTGATTAAATTACCACTAACTAAACTTTGACGGATACTCTAATTATTCTTCTAGTAAACCAAAGCGAAACAAAATCAAATCTACAGGTAACTCTTTCACAAATAATTTTTTATTCAAAAAAGGGAATTGTTACAATTTAAAGTAACAACAATAAAAAATAAAAATATGATAACTTTAATCATTTAATTATTTCACATCTTGAATAACAATTAACTGAAGCATACATTTTATATAATCAACAAACTAAAGATTTAAGTTTTTAACTATTTATTTTAACTTGTGTACTCCTCTAGGTAGGTACTTATATCAATATGGACTTAAAAATCACAGTAAATTAAATTATAAACATCCAGATTGTAATTATCTCATAGTTCTAACTTACATCTTAGAATAATCAGCCTTGCAATGAGTCTCTTTATTAAAGAATTTATCTGAATTATAGTTGATACAAACAAAAGAAATAGTATTTTCTGTGACACATCCTACATGTGCCCACGTCTTACATACAATACATTCAACCCAATTATCTTTTGAATGACTATATGCTTCCTCGCAAATAAGACAATGCCTCAGATTCTGAATCTGAACTTAGAATCCTTTTTTTAACTCTTTTTATTTCATCTTTATTTTTTGCTGATTTTTTACCTTTTCCTTTCCCCTTTTGCTTTCCCTTACCCTTATCATCTTTTGTTTGCTTTTTCTTTATCTAAAAATAATAGCAGTAACTTACAGCAATTTGGGGGCAAGTTGTAACATGTTACAACAAACCCCACGATTTTGTTACAACTAGCCCCAAGGTATAATTTTCAATATTCATCACTAAAACTATTAAATCAACTTAGTAATCTCAAAAACTGTTACACGACGTCATAAATAGTTATATTTAAGCATCAAACAAAATACAAAAATCTCCAATTAGTTGAAAATTGTAAAGCTAACCAAATATTTACGGAAGTAAAATTATACGTTACCTTGCGACAACAAAGCTCTTGCACATACTCACTCACTGCGCCGCCTGGCAGGACACTGGCTATGATGAAACGGTGTGGCGCGTTACAATTGGAAGATTAAGTAAAAAAAATTCGTGTATAAAGTTAAAATATTTAAAAAAATCTGTTAATACCTGTTACAACAGCCCCGCGTCTACTGATACCCAGCAGAAGATAATGGGAGGGGATGAAGTTATGTCATCATAAGCCCATCGTGGCGAATTTACCAGCAATCAACCATGATGAATTCCAGGTCAATGTTTGGACCTATTTAACAATAGGTCCACCTGATAGGGAACATTGCCAGCAACTGGGTGAATACTGTCCGTTACAAACAATGCCTTATTACTACAGTATTATGGCATACTACCATGTTACTGTCGTAGTAATACTAATACCTACATGTCTTTAGGCGAGTCTTAGTTTCATCAGATAGACTCTGAGAATCTTTACTTAGTAGAATAACAGACATAACATCCGACTATTTTTTTGCAGCTCGTATCCATAGGTACAACGATATTCGACCGCATACGAGCCGTGGACCCCGACGCCGGTGTCAATGGCTTGGCCGAATACTTCATCGTACCAGGGGACAACGCGACCCTGGAGGCTGCAAATGCAGCGGATGGTTATGGCCATTTCGCTATACCACTGCCTCATCAGGGTCAAGTCACGGTTAATAGGAGTTTGGATTATGAGCGCACGCAGCGGTATCTAGTCACTATTGTTGCTTCTGTAAGTATTGTGTAATTGTTTTTTTTTTTTATTTTTCTAACCTGTCTTTTAGTCCAGTAGTAGTCGGATGTTTTGGCATTAATAACGTAGTTGTTCCTAACAATTTTGATTTGAAACAATCTAATGTGTATAAATCATTATTATTTCTCTGGTTTAGTTAAGTTTGACACAGTTAACAAATAGTTTAATAATATAAAAGTTGTGTTTGGACATTTTCTGCATGTCAAACAAAAATGTTAAATATAAAAAGTATAGATACTGACAAACCTCATAAAATTTTGCAAGACCTTAAAAAGTAGGTATATGAGTCAGTCATTGAGTATATTTTTATTATCTGTAATTTAAAAAAAATATACTTCATATACTTCTAGGATCGTGCACGCGATACCAAACAACGTCTATCCAGTACAGCTACATTAACCGTGAATGTTCAAGATGATGACGATCAAGACCCATCATTCATATACCAGGGGTGCACATTGCACGAAGGTGTTTGCATTAATCCTGAATATTCTAGCTATGTAAGTAAAAGTCTGCTCTGTAATATTTATACCACAGATTTTTTACTCATTATTTTTTATATCTCATTGTAATTATAACAAATAACATTAATAAAAAACAGTCAAATTAATGTCATGCCAGCCAGTACAATATCTTAGCTGTATATAAGGGTGGATCTGCCAATATTCTGTGAAATGAATTTCTATTTGCGCGGGAAAATAAAAAATGACTTACAAGATTTCCTTTACGGAAATTTTTTTGCATTCTTAATTGTAATTGTTTTACATTATTTTTTATAGTTTTTTAACTCTGTAACAAACTTCCAATACAATATACTACCTAATTATAGATCAACGCGATTATTAATACTCCCCCTGATAACATAAATATATAAAACAAATAAATATATCTATAATTAACCTACATTTGTCTCGCTCTTGCGTAAAGATCATCTCGATTTTCATTTAATTATCTGTTTTACGACTTTTTGTGATCGTGTGACATGCGATTTTAGGGTTACTCCATATAATTCAACATGAACGCAAATATTTTTATTATTATGACTTGTATAGGTAAACAGCGGAATTCTCGCCGGAATCTTAACGATAGAGCCAGAGAAAATCCAAGCTGTCGACATGGATACACTGGATGCTAGGATTCACTACAGCATCGAGAGTGGGGAGCCGGATTCTTGGGCCACATATTTCGCAATAGACCACAACACTGGCGCTGTGAGACAATTAATGCCAGTTGATACAAGTATCGCCAAGAAATTCAATTTAGTCATTAAGGTAATTTATTTCTATGTAAAATTTGCAATTTTTTATATTTTCAGGCCTAAACTGCTAAATGGATCCTATGGAAATCAGTTAGTCCCTAATTTTTCCACATTACATTCTATCTGAATTTCTTTTATTGATGTCGAGAATATATCCAATATGTATCCAAATAAAATAAAATATATTGCAGGTACATAGGTCTGCTAATAAGCAGACCTATGTATCCTAAATATTCGGAAATGAATACTATTTTGACTCCTATCAAAAAGTATTGTTTCATTACTTTTTGAAAAAAAAAATATTTTATGTTTACCTTAACTAAGAAAGCCAAGAATAGCAGTAAACATTCAAGTTGTATAATTTTATAGGCAGAAGAAGTGACAGAAGCGAAGAGATTCACAACAGCCAAGCTCACGATTACTGTACGGCCAGTAGACGCCAGCCCACCCGTGGTGCAGGCGTCATCAGAGGAAGGTCAGATTGAGGAGAACTCTCCGAAGGGTACCAAGGTTGTGGATGCTAACGGAACTCCAATAAGACTCAGCGTTACTGATCCTGATCTGGTAAGTTTAGTGTTTTATATGGTATCTTCCGATCTCTGTGATATATTATAAGATCTCTATGTTTTTTATATATTTAATATACACTGTATTCATTATTAGTCTTAATTAGAATTAATTTAATGTAATTTATTAGATTTAACCCCTTAAATTTGTATAAGTTCTAAACTAAGCAATTTCAATACTGCTACTACTGCAATTTAGATAATATCTTCCTAAGTTAGAGTAGTGTACAGAAAATACAGAGAAGACCATAATAATTCTTAGATTCAATTTAATTCGCATTCTGTAACAGTATTTTTATTACCTTCTTCCAATTCTGAAAATACATCTAAACAAGGGGATAGTTGAGGAGTTGGAATAGGTTTATTAACTTTATTAGTTTATTATAGTAAGTGTTGTTCATGTATTATTTATCTAAACTTCAGGGCCCTGGCGATCCAGTACCAAAATATAGTTATGAATTGACTACAAACTTCTTCGATATCGATAAAGACGGATATCTTACTGCTAGTGATGAGACACTAGATCGCGATCAACCGAACCGTGGGAAGTTTAGATTCCAGGTGAGTTTTTAAAGTACTTCTGATGGTAGAAAATTTTAAAGTGTTTTTATCAGTTGTCTAGTACCTATAACATAACATTTGCTTAGTTTGGGACTAGATGGGTCTGTGTGCTTATATTCTATATTATTACGAATAGTTAGCTAGCTTATCTTTGGAAATGTCAAATTACGTTATTTAATATTTTTTCGGTATTTGTATGTTGGAAATAAAATTGTTTATGGTGTACGGGTAGACTGTTAAAGTATATATTTGTAAAAGATAGGTGTACATGCATGCATACATGCATAGTTTTAACCGTCAAATATAATACACATCAAATAAAACAACACTTACACTTTCGCTTATTTATAATCTTGTTATACTGAAATAAGACCAGGTAAGTGTATATTAATATTACTATATACATCTACAAATACTCGTTGTTGTAAATTACAAATAATGATTATTTGTACCTCATCTAACCAGGTGGTGGCTAGGGAAGCAAACGGCGGTGCTGCATCAGCACCTCTCTCGTTAGCCGTGCAACTTCTGGACCAAAATGACAACGCGCCCGTCATTCCGAAGACTCAACCGATCATAGTGCCAGCAAGCTTAGAACCTACAGCTGTACATAAGGTATTATTATGAATATTACGTCATTTCTAGAATCTCTGGAGGTCTCAACTCAACACTTTACTGCTAGTATAAACACTCTTTTCTTTTCGATTTGTTTTATATATAAGAATTTTTATTATATACGATACCAATAATGGTATAATAAAAAAACTCCAACTCTTTCAACTCCAAATTTACCAACTTAGTTATAAAATTTATTTAAAATCCGTTATACTTTTTGACAGAATATAACAATTTCCTTCCAATTTTTTATCATTATTATTTTAAAGAGTAATAATCTCTAATTAATATTGATGAAAATTTACTCTTTTTCGTATTAGTTTCAATCGCATAAACAGTATATTTAACAACGCAAAACTGGCAAGAATCTCAGTTGTTACTGTTTTAAAAAATAAATCTAATAAAAAATAGTTTATTTTATTCAAATATTTGTTTTTAACAACTTAGTATTTGCGCCTATTATGAGTGTTGACTTTTTTTTTCTAGGTGGAAGCGATAGACATCGATGAGGGTGAGAACGCACGAATAACATACAGCATTTACCACATTTCTAATAATGGTGGCAATAAATTCACTATAGACCCTAACACCGGAGTTATATGTAAGTTGCACATTTTTCTCTCACCGCTTATTCGTCATTATATATTTTTGTTACAAAATTTGTAAGTACTTTTAAATGAGTCTAATTTTGTGTGCGTTTTTAACACCTGTTTTGAGTTTTAAAGCACGTCACGATTTTTTTACTGTGCTTTGCAAATATTTTTATACAATTTACATTTAGTTGGCATGTAATTTTTTACACTATAAACACAACGTGGTTTCTAACGTAAATGAAAACATCTATATACCATAGATTAAATTAAGGAATTTTTACAATTATTTTATTATTAACTATTACTCAAAAGAGCTTCGAAATATCAGTGTTATCTGTATAAATATGGTTATTTTTTAAGTAAATAAGAAACAATCATTTATATATAAGTAATGGTATAAAGCAGAGCAATAATGATGATCTATCAATAATGTACAATTATTGAATTAAATAAATTAATGATAAAAATATGTAATATATTTTAAATAATTTATTTTTGCCTATTATTTTTGCATATTACTTATACATTACACTGTAGATTTGACTAAATATATAACCACTGACGTGACTTCGATTGCCGAAACACTTTTTAAATCTATTTTATTCTATATTACAGCGAGCACTGGCCGATTGCAAGCTGGTGAACAATATAGCGTTACCGTCCGAGCGATGGATGCTAAAGGATTAAGTTCTCAAGGCATTGTAGAACTATCAGTAGCACCCGGTCCCAATACACGACCACCACAATTCTCTTCAAGGGACTATTACGCGCCAGTATCCGAAGGCGCCTCTATAAACTCAACGGTCACTACCGTCACTGTAAGTTGATCTGTCATAATTATTATTACATATGTATGTTAGTCTATAAGGTTTTCATAATATGGGCCATTAATAGCCTGAACTAAATAAATAATTGCTTATTGTATTACCAATTCTGGATTGAAACTTTCCAGAGTCAAGGGAAATGTGACGTATCTTGATACGAAGAATACAGTTTAATAACATGTATGATCACGATTATATTTCAGATGGGGTAGTCGAAGCCTTTGTAAACATTTTGCTGTAAAATGAAAACTAAAGTATAATTTATTTTGTATCAGGGATCAAGTGTACCCTAGTAGGATAAATTTTATTTCTTCTCATTATACATAAAATGTCACGTTTTTTATAGCCTGTTAGAACATATATATAGCCATCACTAACATTGAAGTTTAAAAGCCACAGGGCGATAAGATTAATGAAAAAAATACAAAATTATAATATTTATTCTTTCAGGCCAAAGATCCGGAAAACGAACCAGTTACATATTCGATTGTATCTGGTAACGATCTGCGACAATTTGCTATTGGTGCTAATACCGGCATCATCACAGTCATAAGAAGATTAGACAGAGAAGTTCTTACGAGATATCAACTGGTAACTATTTATATTCACTAATTACGATTTCCGTAGCTCTTTGTTTGTTTTATTTAATCAAATTTTTAATAATTCTGAATAAAAAAATGTTTTTCCATTTTGTATTTGTATTTTGACATCTAAATATAGTGAAATATAATTTCTCGAATATATCTTCCTGTGCTACAATATGGTTAGATACTTTTTAAATTTTTGTAATGTAAATTTTTGTCAATGAGTCCGTATTTTGTAAGAGATTTGGAAATAAATTTGATATAATACTTATTATTGATATACAAATAGTTGATTTCACAGCACAAGATAAAATTCTCCTTTGTGTACACATAAAGGTGTACAAGTATTCACATATTTTTAAGTGAGCCTTATACTTATAAGTTTATTTAGACCCATATTAGGATGAAGGCGCTCTTCCTCGATATGTTAATTTCGACCTTGTGTTATAACAAGATACATATTGACAAAAAAACTAATTTAAGTTTACTAATATAAGATTGTTTTTAATACCATCACAAAACAATATTCCCAATCAACACTATTTAGTAAAAATGTTAATCTAATAAGTTTAACAAGTATCCTCCATTTTTTTCTCTATAATCATTTTGTAGACACCACGGTAATAATTAGCGATTTCGTAACCTGCATACATAACATTCATATCTTCTCTATATACCAACAATATGCGTACTTTCTGACCTTTCACACTTAAATAACGTGCAGGACTGAGTCCCCTCTCCACTTCTTTTGTAAATATACTTATATTTGCTATCTGTAAATATCTCTATAATATCGTGTCTGAATAGTTCCGACCGGTGACTTACTTCTTCATTTCCTTTCACCTTCCTGCTACATACGTCCTCAGATATAAATATTAATGATAGTATCATAGTTGTTACATTATGGATTTTAACTATTTTTTTTTTAATTTTATTGTAGATGGTAAGAGCTGAAGATCCAGGCAAATTGTCGAGCACAGCAACCGTCAACATCAAGGTTACTGATATCAATGACAACAATCCAAAATTCGATGAAGATTCTTATTTGTTCCACGTGAAAGAAGGTAATTTATTGCTTATAACTATCTGAATAAATACTTTCATGTTTTATGTGTGAGATAACAGTAGTTCCTTCATAAGTGGAAAATAGTCTACAGTGATCACGATTTCTATGCGATAAGAGATTTTTCTTTTTTTTTACTTACATGAAATGACCATGTGAGGTTTTACGACACATTTCCTTAGTTAAACTATGACAATAGAAAATTGATATACTAAACTAATTTTCGCATACAATTCAGTGATCCATAAAGTTATAAAATAATACGTTATATTTTCAGGATTATCTGGCGAGGTTGTGGGCTATGTCCATGCAACTGATAGTGATGAAGGCATCAATGCTATGATCACGTACAGCATCCCATCCCATTTGCCATTCAATATAGATAATGGTACTGGAATGATCACTACTAACACGGCGTTGGATTATGAACACACAAAAGTAAGTAGGACTTTCAATTAGAAATTTAAATAATTTCAAATTAACAGTTTTTTTAACACTACATGCAAATGAGAGTATATACGGTACTTAAAAAAAATGTTGTGTTAGAATTCTTTGTCTTCCTGTTTGTTTGTTCTAGCTAATCTCTGAGAAGACTGGGCGGATTTTGACGGGACTTTCAGTCCCAGATAGCTAATAATGTCACAAAAAGATTTCTTTATTTTATAAAAAAAAAATTAAATTCCATTGAAAGTTGCGGGTATCGCTTGGTTATATATTATTGGAGTTTCTTCCAGGAAACTTGAAACTATAAAGAAAGATAAACGAAATTGTCACCCTCATTTGTACTTCGATGTTAAATGTTTGTGTAATTCTATAATGCACAGGAGTACGCGTTCGTGGTAACGGCAACAGATGGTGCGATCGACAAGCGTTTGGGCACTGCGTCTGTGGCAGTGCAAGTGCAGGATGTTCCCGACGAACCGCCTGTATTCCCTCAGGAACATTACTCCGTTCACGTGCCAGAAAATGCAGCTAATTACCCCGTTGCTAAAGTTTATGTATGTAACTTTTTTTTTTTAGCCTTAACATAAATCAAGCATTGTAACTCTATTGGTATATACACAGTTTTCATGTTGCTACTTGTAATTATTGGCACTTGGTAGAACTTTGAATGCACTAAAGATGACGCAAACACATATACAATTATTTCACTTTTATATTCTACATATTCTACATAAAATCTAGAGACTCGTAGCTTCATTTCACAGAAAATAACATTAGTTGTAACTAACTAAACGACGAAATAAAAACAATGTGTACAATAAATATACGTCAGTATATATATCTGAAAAATATAGAATTCAACATCATAGTTTTGTGAAGGTCATTTGATCATAGTAATATAGAAGGAATAATAGGCTATATTATATAGTATGTTATGCATTATATATTATAATGTCATCCATATTGCAGGCAGAAGATCCTGACACACTATCAGAAATAACCTATACCATAATGCTCGGCGATACAGATCTGTTCACAATAGACCGCAAATCTGGGATGATAAGAACAGCACTACCTCTAGATAGGGAGACGATGGCGCGACACGAAATAATAGTAGGCACTGAAGAGAATTCGGGAGAAGGTCCCGGTGCTACAACCATTGTCGAGGTGCTTGTAGATGTGAGTATTAATAACTAATGTAAACTTTCTTTTACACTAAAATCTTTATTACGCGACCTTAAAAAAATTTGTATATTTTTATTTTGTACGTTTATCCGCTACTTTCCTCAGTATCTACTGGATAGATAGTCAATGTGTAGAAAGTTATCAACAAAATTACTGGAATAGCAAACGAACACAATGGAAATCGACACCAACAAAGTCTGTCCTAGAATACATTGCGATGCCAGTAATTCAGCTTCGCTTATTAATATATTTGTCCTGACAAGTGACTTTTGAGGTGTTGCCATTGTCAATATTTAATTTCATTCCATTTACCAATTTAACTACGACATACGTTAATTATATTTTTTTTCTTATGGGTGTAGATACCCTACAGTGTGGAGTTAAAGTGTGTCATAATGTGATAATAAATAAATTTAATAATTTTAGGACAAGAACGATAATTCACCGATTTTCACGTCAGTGGTCCGCCCTGTAACCGTGGAGGACTCCTCATCTATCGGCACCCTCGTTCAAACAGTATCAGCTGTAGATTCCGACGCTACCGCCCCCAATAACAGGGTGCGATATAAGTTGGTTGGTAGAGGGAAGGCATCCAAATATTTCCACGTAGAACCTGACACTGGAGCTCTCAGAGTTAGAGATGACTTGAGAAAGGAGACCGATAGCGAATATACTGTAAGTATATAAAGACTTAGGTTGATATTTACTTGCAACTGTAAAGAGCTTACTACATATGTTATAGTATAATAAGCTTGGAGAGTTATGTAAGGACTTGATTAAGTTCGGTCTTGACAATTTTCATTCAACATTTACAGTCAATTTTCATCAAATTGACAATAAATTTGATGAAAATTGACTGTCGTAATTATACTCAAATTAATAATTAGGCGGGTAAGAATTTTAGTCATTGACAAATTCATAAGAATTATTATTATTGAATTTACTGGATACTTATTAATTCGTTATGTAGCGTAAAAACAAAATCCTAGTCAGTATTTAGTGATATTTCTTCAATATTAAAATTCTGATTGAAATTTATATTAATATTACAGGTCGACGTACAAGCTTACGACCAAGGAGAGCCTGTAATGTCATCAGTTGCCAGCCTTACCATCTACGTGAGCCATTCAGCTACTGTACCACCAGATGTAAGTTACAGACCATCATCATCATAATCGTAATGTCTATCAGTGTCCCTATTATAGGACGAGTACAAGAGGAGAATTTTAATTACCCTTAGGTTATCTATTTACAGAAGAAAAATATATATCCACAATTATCAGTTTTATAATAATACTCATATTACAAACTCAGCTTAGGTTGGAATCAGGTGGTGTGTCAATATATCATGTGGATATATATCATAATATTTTACAAAGCTACTGATTTTTATTTTATTTAAATATTGAGATTCTTAAACATCTGATATAATATTAATAATAATAATGAAATGTAGGTGCTTTACCTACACTTTTTTTTTTAATCTGAATTTATACATATTTATTCAGAATGTTCACTTTTGAATTATTTCTTGACAGGTTGGCCTCGGTTTTGCTGACACAGTATACACTGAACATGTAGCAGAGAACTCACCGAATGGTACATTAGTGAGGATACTGCCTGTTTTGAACAAGAAACAGCATTCTATGGATACTCCACTAAAGTGTATACTCACTGAGACGTCGCAAAAAGGTATTTTTATACAACATTCTTTTATTTTAATATATTTTTAAATTTACTTAATTCTAAATTTGGAATTCTCTAAATAAATGTTAGATCGAATGCAATCATAATTGTTGTATATACAATAAATGGGTTGCTTAAATTTGAAAAAAAAAATAACTTAACTGAAATAATATATATGTATTTATGCAAGTGATAACTTAAATTTCATTTTTCTAATTTCAGGCGTTTTTTACGTGAATCTAACGCTAGAAAGAGACTGCGCTATCTACCTCAATACAAGTTCCTTAGACTATGAAAGTCTTTCAGAGTATTCATTAGAAATCCAGCTAGAGTCCATACAGGGTCTAATAAACCCCGAGAGCAGTAAGGCCGTTGTAAAGGTTCACGTAACTGACGCGAATGACAACGCACCTATGTTTATATTCCCGGATCAGTCTACAATAACAGCGGCGAAGGGGAAATACTTCGCTATTGTTACCAAAGATATGTTATTGGGAACCAATGTTTTGCAAGTTAAGGTGAGTTTATTTTATATTTGACTAGCGCGATCCGTCACGGCTTCGCACGGATGCATTACAAATCCTTAAATTGCTCGGTTTGTTGTATATTAAAACACGCATGAGTTATACATATAAACCATCTTCTTGAATCTCTCTACCTATTGCTGAAAACTGCATTAAAATCCGTTGGTTAATTTAACATTTCTTAGGACTATAAGTATGATGAAGTAATAATACCTAATAAAACAAATATTATATTATTTATGTATTTGTAGGCTAAAGATAAAGACAGCGGTGAATATGGAAAACTAGAATATCACAAGAATTCCTGGACTAAAGCGGCTGAGGAGTACTTCAGTCTGGACGCTGATACAGGTGTAATTAGTAACATCAAATCATTCGAGAATGTTCCAAAAGACGTCCTACCATTCAAGTTTAGTGTGACAGCTCGTGACAACCCCGATTCACCACAAGATTATAATATTGCGAGAGCTTCTGTTGTGGTGAGTGTAACTGATTTTTTCTACATTCTATAAATACACAAAATATTTTTATTCTAAAGATTTTATTTCTTTAATTTTTCTTTTGTTATATTGTTTTCTCAAATTATATTATACAGCTTTGATGTAAGCTACAGGATTTTCAATAAAACTAAATAGAAATAATTTTTATTCAAATAAACTGAATATATGCTTATATTCAGTTTTGAATAGGAAAAGCAAAAATAAATAAGCGTTAAATTCTATAAATTTTTTGTGTTTTTATATAAAATGATATTTTCTTCTATTTCTCTACAGATTTCAATTTTTTTTGCATTATTATTATTTAAAGATTTAAGTATTATTTTGTAAAATTATTATATGTTTTGTAGATTAACCTCCTTCAAAAAGAGAACCAGTTAGTCGTCGAAGTATCAGACTTGAATCCTGACGCCATGCGCCGACGATCGCGTAGTTTGCTGACTGCTATTGAAGAAAAGAGCGGCCTTGTTGCCGGACTAGAACAGTTGACAGAGAGACATTATTTAGGAGAAAACGGCACATTGGAGAGTGACGCGAAGGGTACTGATGTATGGTTGTACCTTGTAGATCCTAGTACTGGAGAGATATTGATGAGAGAATCAAAACCTGTTAAGAGGTGAGTCAAAAAGAATGTTATTTTTTTACTTTTCCTCTGCGGGCTTTCGTTTATTTTGTTTTTTTTTTGTAATATGTATACTGTGTACAAATAATTTGTTTATCATTCTATATACATATAACCATTATAACTATATAAACTGGTATTAAACAGGAAATACTAGTCTGATGGCCTTTTACATAAATTTATAATTTTATTATACTAATTTTAATTAATATAGAATTTTATGTTATAAATTAAGGTACAATACATTCTAATAATTCTAATTCTAATATATTGCTATATATTTATAACGGATTTCGCACTGGTCCAATTGTTGTAGTACTTATTAATAAAGTAGCTATTATTAGTACTACTTCAATTTATCCATTACAGTGAAAATTTTCCTTTATAATAAGACAATAAACTAACTCGTTATCAATACGTATTAAAAACTATAGATTTTGAATAATATATTTTCTTAGGGCAATCGAGAATGGAGTTCGTAAAGCGGTAGCGGCTCGTCTCCAAGCTCCAGTAAGCGAGGTTCGACCGCCGCTCATTCCTACCGAACAACCACGGCGACCCCATATAGCGGTCGCGCCGCTTGCTACAGCGCTTCCAGCAGCTTTAATAGCGTTGGCTGCGCTCGTACTGGTCGCTGCCACTGCTGCGACTATATACATTTGTGCGTCGTGGAATAGGTAAGTGTATTTCTAATTATTACTCTATAGGATAAGAGGTGTGACATCTTAGTCCTCTGTCCAATGACGACGCATGACTTAATAGGAATTATGATTCTTTCATTGTTTACAATAATTTTATTTGCTATTATATTTGAAAATTATTGTATTAACCTGTTCGTCTCTTAATATATTCCTGATGAATATGTACAGGCCTCGGACATGATAAAATTTACCTTTGTGTAACATTTGTTTTTATATTTAAATCTGTTTCTTAAGGAAATTTACTTAAATACCGTCTCTTTTTTGAAGGTATAAGAAACATAAGGAGCAAGCGATACAGCAGTATGGTACTCTTAGTATGAGTATGGCGCCGCCACGGCCGCCTTCTGGATACGAATCGAGTGAAGATGAACCCGCACCGAGATACGAAACTCAGGTATGTTACTTTATTTAACTTCAATAATAAACGGTTAGGTATGTATAGTGGGCTATACAAATAGTAAATATTATAGCAGACTTAATAAATTTAGCGATAATTTAATCTGAAGAAAAAAGGAGGTGTTAGATTACTACTTAGATATTTTTTTTTTCTGCGTATGTTGATTCCGATTCAGAGCCTGTTTTATTTATTATTACATCGAATATTACACCCGTATTATATATATTAACATTGTTATAATTATGATTATAATATTTACAATTATTGTAGAGCCAGCACAGAATGAGAATAGAATTTATTGACTCGTCTTGAGACAACAATAACGAAATAATAACATACAAATAACAATTTACACACATTATAAAACATAGCCAATATGGACCACAACTAAGCGAAATACTGGAACCATAATTTCCAGCATTGATTTTCAGTTGGGACGAACAGTACGGACGCATATTATTTTAAAACAAAAATTTTAATTGTAGTTTTATTGTAATGTAACAATTTTTCCCGATTCATATAATAATGCCGTTGATGTAACACTCCTGAAGACACTGTACTTAATATGACAAATTACTCTCATTTCTATATACTTATTAAATTCGAAGGATCATAGAGAATTAATCATTCATATAGGAACTTAATAAATATACGTTAATTTACTTTTTAGGTTCTGAACATGGCTGTCGATGACGCTGACCTGCAACTAGATTTTAGCGCTAACAATCACGCTTTTAATATACACAGTGTGCAATATTTATCTAAAGACAATGGTTAGTATAAATCTATTATATATTCAAATAAATAAATTACAACAATTATTATTTAATTCTTGACTCATTTAAATAAAAATTTCACCATTTTATTACTTATTAAAATTTTTTTGGTGAATGTACTTTTAAAATCATTATGGGATTTGATTTTATCTATTAAGAAATTATTTTTTTTTAATTTATAATAGAACTACTTTCTGCTCGCACATGCTTCTGCGTGGTGATAAATAATTGACCAGGTACACTCTTATCTGTACCACATCCCTTACCTACATACCAAATATTATGATGATTGGTTTTGGGATATAATAATGTGGAGTGATGACCCTGGACAAGTCAACACGATAAAATTACAACCTTTGCTTGGTTTTATCCTTTTGACGTCTTATAATAGAATCATTTTATTTTTTATTCGCTTGTTCCGAATATTTTTTTATTTATTTAGGTTGATTCAAGGTAAGAATAACATGCATTCTATTATAAATTCTCTTATAAACATGTAAATTTTGTAGGCGAAAGAAGCCCGACATTATCAGAAACGGCTACCACCGCCCGCGCGTCAAGCGTCAATGAGAACGGCGGTACATTGAATAACAGTAACTTCGACTCGATTGCTAACAATGCCACCATTGCTCGCAATACACAAACACTGAACCGGCGAGTGCCAAATAATCACGCACTGAATAACGCACTCGGGACGTTACCGCGAGTGAACAACAACAACGTGGGTGGCGGATTACTGGCCGCTACTCTCGGCAGGAAAATAAATGGTGGTAACAATCATAAAAAGAAATCTACGCAGCCCATAATGGCGTATGATGAAATACCTGGATTGCAAAGGTAAGTCACTCGTTTGTTAATTTTATTCGCCTATTTAATCTTGTTTAAAATAAATTATATGCTTGAATATAATTTTAATTTGATTTGAAAGAACTTAAAAGACACGACGAAGACTTGAAAGATTGGACTTTATTGGGTGATTTTGTTGTTTTACATTAGCTGTTTTATTTAATTTATTAGTCCCTTACTAATTGTGTCAAGATAAAATTTGTCAATAAGTAAAAAAAAAATTATGAATATAAAACGCATCATAGCAACACTGGTCTCATTTCGGTATTATTGAGATTAAAGATGTATACACAATTACATAACAAAAGAATAATTACTCATTTATTAGTACTCTACTTGTCTATAATTCAACTTACGTAATTGTATTATTTTTTATCACCTGTTCGTGCGAATGTACGAATATAATTTTTGTAGATAGATATTGTCGATTTTGGACCCTTTATTTGTAAAATAAGCATACAATTCAAAAAGAGCTATGCTAGTTCCCAAATGCTTAAAAATATATAAAACAACAGTGAAAGAAATTGTTAACTTATATGATTTCACATCATTTTCTAATTACACTTAATTTTGAACAGAATTTAGTTAACTCTGTGAAATTAAACGCATCTATTCCCTCTCTAGAGAACCGTCGCTTCTATTATACAAACGTTTAATGAAAATATAGTCTATTCGCTGCTCTCAGTTTAATTATTGCATACTTTATAAGGACATTGTTAAGATTCAAACGTTTGCATTAGGGGATTAATACATTGTCAAGTATATGAAATTATATATTTTTGGACTATTTTATATCTTTTTAATGTTTTACAATGTCTATAATTATATTAGTAGAATTTTACTTATAAAATAATTCAAGGAGAATATTGTAAAAAAAAATTATTCATGCAGCTACATTTTCATAAATACGTTATACAGATAATTGTTCTGTCTCATCATTTCGATGCTGTATAACATGTTGTTAGACTTTGCAATTGTTTTAAAAGTTCTATAATAATTGCGTTTGTAAGTAAGCGTAAATATAATGTGTTTGAAATTATATTTATTTTCTGTATAAAATCCAAGAATTAATTTATTATGCATTTCTTATTTTATATTTTGAATACATATTTAACAATGTAATAACACCCTTCGTCCCTTGCGTGATTCGTACATTACTACTAATTAACCTACTCTGTAATATGTACAATAGTAAGGTCTACTAAATTTCAATACATGCTACATATGAAGTTTAGTCATTCCACCGAAGTTATATTGTTAATCCGGAATATAGCTATTCATATTAATATGTGATTGTTTATGTCTAACAGCATTTGGAGCATGAAGTGTACCCTCTAGACATTTGTTTCAAGTAATTAATCTTTGGGATTGTTGATATGTTTATATTTATAAGTTGGAATATTAGGTATTAATACGATATTGCATGTATTTATATCTAACTTTCGTCATTAGGAATGCTTTGAAAGTTTCAAATAATATTTCCCACGCAATGTCATTCGTATAACGTTACTGTGTTAAATATTAAACTACTAGTTGTTTACTACGGTTTGATATCACGGATTTTATTATGTTCCTTTGGAAATTTCGAGATATGTAGTATACATAAGTCAGTTTAGATGAGTCTCGTCATAATTTAAGATGTAGTCACACGCAAATGACTTCAATGGTGACAATATGAGATCTACTTTGTATATGAATATATATGAATAAGGTTTCATATGTGACAATATATATTCCATCATATGGCCTGTAAGCTTTTTATCATTTCAGTGGAAAAAACGATTTTTCGTTTTGCTGTTATGCATCTATGTATTTTTTTTTAATTTACATATGAAATGTGTATATATGTAATGAATATATTGTTGTTTTCTTTTTCAGAGCTATGGATAATGATAATGTCACTTTTGGCAAAAGAAACTTTAGCGGCTATACTTACGACCAATCACCGGTGGAAACCACGACTGAACTATAGTAATAAATGTAATCTTTTAATTATTCGAATGTGACATTATCTCTTTCCCTCTTTAATAGTTTTTCAGAGTGCGAATGAGATAGAGATAGAGATGCAAGATTTTTTCGTTTGGCATCGAATTATTTTTAATACCATTTAACTGCGTGAATGTAAAGTGAATTTAATACAGAGAAGTGATGAATGAAAACTTTTTTGTGATATGATGATATTCGTCCATGAACAATGAATATAATGAAGTATATTATAATATAGCATAATATATTGTGTTCAACGAATTTTTAGATAATACTTTTGTACGTAACTGTATGTACTTAGCAAAGGCTAGTCTTTTGTATAATGAAATATTGTGCATAATACAAATATAAATTAAATGTGTGTAAATAATAAAGGCATTAAATGTTTGATATATTTAGGTACCTGAACCGTAAACCAGGTACAAATCTTTGTAAAAATATTAATTTACAAGCGGTGTATATCTAATGCATGTAATTCTTGAGAAAAGCGTTTTGTAATTTACCACGGGAACTGATGGTTTTAAGGTAAGATTAAGGATATACTCCTTATTCCAAGGTTATGCGTAGATGGAGAAATTTACCTACGGTATTCTTTGTCTATGTTTGTAAGGCATTCCATTTTTTTACTTTTTTTATATTTTTGTATGAATTTTGTGCCAGTTACTGTTAAAATGTTAATAGGTGTACAATTATGGGCTTTTAAGGAAGCTATAAATAAAATGCTCATTTCGTAATCTGGTTTCACTAAAACGTTTGTGCCAAAAGATTGTGAATATTTTTTTTAATATCATGTATTTATTCGTGTGCACTGGAAAGTGTTACCTATGATAAATAATAATTGATCTGTATAATAATTGTAAATTTTATATTTTTTTAAATAAATTGTGAACTTTTTACATAGGTACTGTATTATAATTTTCTGATATAAATTGTTAATACTTTTGTGGAGTAAATTAATTTTTATTATCAAGATTTGTTTTTTTTAATGCAAGCATATTATGTGCTTTTATACTGATACAAATCGATACTAAGGTAAATTATTAATAGAGTATAACAGCATGGATTATAAAGTTTGAGTAATAGTTATAAATGACAACTTTAATCCTTTTATATTATTACCTACCTACCGTAATCTCTGATTATTTTGGTTTGTTATCAATGCTTCCAACAACAGAGAAAGAACTTTTTAGTTTTGCCCAGATTAAAACTCACGACTTTATTCAAGTCAGATTGTAACCCATAAACATGACGCTAAACCTTACTGTTTATAACAATATCTTGTGCCTATAGAATACATTTTGTTATCATTATATAATGTATTTTTGGCTGTTTGTTATATTTTTCTTGCAATAAAATATTACAATTCTTTTATGCTTTCAAGTGGAATGGTATAATTTGAAAGAGGCATATTAACCGGAACGTTGCTGCACTCGGCTTTGAATACCGTAAAAGGAACTCTGGAAATGTTTTCGGCTACTCGTATTCAACAATCTCGCCGCCGTGCATTTTTAAATTTAATATCTCTTTGTACCGCACTCCCTTGTGAGTGTTACATCGCAGAAAATTACAGGAGCGTTGGAAAATATAAATTTCTACTTTACCAGTGCCGTTCAAAGTGTACCACTGGGGATAAGTGGTTGCTGTGTCGACGACGATGCTGAGAAATAGAAAAAAAACGCCATAAATTTTGCATTCAATCACGACGATAATATTGTAGGTTTATAAATATACACATGAATAAGAGGTAGGATATGCTAGATATTAGAGTCTACAACTGTAAACATTTATTTTATTTATTCTATGTATTATTTTATATATTCTTTAGTAATACTGGAATGATGCACGGATATCCATAGGAGATGAGCAGGAAATCATGTTAATTAGCCCATTTTATCAAATTCACCGGGAATTAACTGCGATAGTTTCCAGTGGGAACCGCATGGAGGTCGTATACTTCACATATAGTAATTACCACCCATTATACAAGATCCCCTCCTGCCAATACTAATAATGTTCTGTATACAATAAAACTTAAAGTTAGCAAATACAATTTAACTTAACAATGTTTTTTTTAATATATTAAACAAAGGACAAAACAGTTAAATAGGTTATGTTTAACGTAGACGTTTTTTATGAATAGCGCTTTGTTTTACATATTATTTTTTATGCAGCTGAAATAACAAACTGCTTGACAACCTACCTTATGATGGTAACCGTCGCCAATACACAGCACCATATAATACACTGTGATAATTTTGCATATTTTATTACCTAACTAAAATATATATTCACTTGACGGCCTTATCCTGATCTAGCGTTTTGGCACACCGCTCTACTTCCGATGGTTGCAGGTTCGACTCCTCGCATGATCCAAACTTTTGTATTTACAAGTATGATTGTTTGTATTAGTCTGGATGTTATCTGTGAATATTATGTATTTGCAAAAAAATATCTAATTATTTTTAGTATCCATAATACGAAATTGTTTGTTTGGGACTAGATGACGCTACGTGGAATTGTCCTAGGTTATTATTAACTCTGAAAGCTTCATTGTTTTTAGGTCCACTGAACGGATGATAATGATCGAAGTATAACATGAAAATCGATTGTAACACAAAAACGGTCTAGGCTTTTATTAAAAAAGGCTAACTAAGTTACAATAATAGTAATAGCTAATATACTATAATATATGTACAAAAATACAGATTTAGGAGACAAAAATAAAGATCTTAAATCGAAGCCACGTCATAAATAATTCTATCGGAATCACCAAAAAATAGGTCTATGTGATAAGATATCTGTACTGATTCAAATAAATTGCATATATAAATAGGAAAGGAAACCTTGTTAAACCATCAGCACTCTATTAGGATATTCGGCATTACAAATTCTAAGAGTTGCCATACATATTTGATGTGTCTAATGTGATATTCGGTGGAATGGAAGGCCACGGGTCAGGCATTTCGAAAAGGATCAACAGTAAAAAGCTCTTTATGTATCTGAGACGTTCCGAATGCCACATTACGGGCACCAAGCTCCGACCCTTTAAAACCGTTTTAAATAATTAAAGACAGAACTCCAATAAAATGTTTGTACTTGAGACACCACCTGTATCTATCTATCTAAGTGTACGTTTATTGCACGTTTTCACGTAGAAAGCGCCCTCGAAAACTTGGCGTTTAAAGGACAACTGGGGGCCTATTATGGAACCCTTTTAAGCTGTGTTTCGGTCAGTTAAAATGGAACAGAAAATTGATGTTTATTTTTCACTTGTTAAATTCTTAATATAGGAGGTTGTAAATTGATTTAATTACAATTTACATTGTTGTCAAAGTATATATAAGTATATATACGCACTGTGTAGGTATACAGAAGAATGTGTTTGTAAATCTATACTAATATTGGAAGTAGGTAATGTTTGTGAGTTTGTGAAGTTGTAGGGGGTAAATTTCTCAATCTAAATAACTGATTTCAAAAATTCTTTTACTATTGGATAAGTCATTTATCGAGGAAAGCTATAGTCATATAATATCACGCTACAACTACTTAAAGCGGAACTCCAACAAAAAATGTAGGAACGGTAGAACGAGGAAATGTGACGCATGGAATTGCGCTGGCTGACCAGTATTCTGTTAAGTAGATTCTTAATTGTTTTAAAAGATAAATTACTATATTTTTTGTAAAAATGTCTGTTTTACTTAGGTAAAATTATTAGGTGCAACAATACTTTGTTCATATTGCTATGTGTGTCCTTATCTACTATTTTCCAAGAGACTATTTTTACCATTTATTTGAAATTCAACAAAGCTGTCGATGCCACATGTGGCTTATTGAACCGCGGTGAATTCTTACATATTACACACCTACTTATATATTAAAATTCAATATAGGTGGCAGATAGATGGTACATTTGAATAATAGAATATAAAAAGAAAATTTCGTACGTACCTATTTCATAACCACCTGATATTGCTCTATGGGCGCGGGTTCAATTCCCAGCACGATGCAAATAGGTATTATTATAGATAGAATAGACCCGGACGGTCTACATTATGTATAATAAAAAATATATTTAAGTATAATAGTTCTATCAGTTGTCTAGTACTAGCTAATCAGAGTTTGTGTTATAACACAAGCTCTGCTTAGATTGGAGTTAGATAGTTCTGTGTGAAATATCCTGACGTATTGTCATCTAACATTTAAAATTTGTTATTGATTGTTACATAACGTAGGCGTTCAATAAGAACTTAATCTTAAGATTAAAGAATTAAATCACCTATGTTACATTTGATACGACTTCAAGTGCACAATATGATCTTCATAGAACTCGCAGTTTAAAAACCTCAGATCATTTCTTAGGATGTCCGATGTCTCTGACGGAAGCAACCAATAACATAATATATTACATCATTTGAGAAAGCATTCATTTTGATAAGTTAGGGTAGCAGAGGACGGAGATTGATAAAGTAGATTTGAGGGTCGCAGATGAGATATTTTACTGCCAACTGTAATGTTCAATTACTTGTACCAAAAGTGTGAATATATGTATATTAAATGAATCAATATGTGGTGCACCTGCCTATGCTAAGATTGTATATTGGTAGGCCATGAGTGGAGTATGACAGCATGAGGATAAAGTTAGGTTCTTTAGCACATTGAGGCGTATACATAAGGAATTAAGCTAAGATGGTTTCCAGGTATTTCCAAGACGGTTTTTATTTGGCGTAGAATATTGTACTAGTAATGCGTCTATTACTAGCAATTTTTCCAATCTGATTTTCCATTTATCCATAAATGATAATCTTTAAAATTTTTAATTTTAGTTTCAAACATGTTCGGTATGACTACTACTGAATAAAAACAGATAATTATAAATATGGCAATATTTTGTTTACTGCTTCGTCATTCCTCCAGCTTATTTACGCTTTTTCTAGTTGGCACAATAAATAAGTAACAAAATGTACATATTTATATTAGGAATGAATTATAATATCTAGGTATATAAAAAACAAAAATATAGCCTACTTCATTATATTTTTAGTAGATTGATTGATAAAGATATATATGTAGATTAGAAATTCATAGTAAAGCATGAAAATACGTAATCACGGTGTATTTGAACAATTTAAATACCTAACTATTGAATATCAAAGTAAACGTGGTCAAGGATATATTGTGTAGTTGTAGACTCTACTCACTATTCAGGTTTATTTTTGTATGAACGTATTTGATTTGAACAACTGTATATTATTGTTTTTCGCAGAAACTATTGGTCGTTCATTATTATAATACTCATATTCACGTTCATTACATACACTGTTTGCTTATGTAAAAAGTTGCTCATATAAATGTAATTTTTATTAACATAATGACAGTGTAATTTATCAAGCCGCCGTCGGGATGGTGTTGGTTACGATTTATATGATTGGATTGTGTACAGCTGTTTTAGGGTCCGTACAAAAACAGCTTGTTACAAATGACGCATCAGGTAAGCAAATAACTCATACATTTACTAAAAACGTTAACTTAGTAAAAAATATGCACAATATAATAGGTATAAAATAGGCAAAGAAAAATGAAAGATGAAAGTTGTCAAAATATCTTAAAGACGCAGAAAATAAAACAAATTACATTTATTGAAATAAAAGTACGCAGCTATCCAAGCTAATTTAGTGTATTTACTCTTTTTCTAAGTTAGAATGAGAAGTTTGAGGCAGAGAAAGGAAGTTTTAAAGTACAAAGGTAAGTTTTTGATGTCAATGTAATAAGAAATATTTCAACTAGTAATGTAAAAACTTTTTCTAAAGTGCATAAACATAATAGAAACTGAAAATACACTTAGCCTAGGGATGCGGTTACGAATTCTGTCAGATCGTGTTGCTGTAAGGTTATATTTTTTAACCTAATAGGTATCCAAAATAGAGTTGGTACTTAGGATTTTAAAGAAAATGAGATTGTAATATATAACATATCATATTAAAATAAACATAATAATGAATTTTGCATCTATTTATAGTTTTTGCTACTATAAATAAATTTGATCATCCCTTTATTCAGGAAAAATAATTTCGTTTCACAATATAAAAAAGCTTCAAATAAAAAGAATGAAACAGTTACATAATTTTAATAGATTTGTTTGATTTTTTCTTAAATGTGTATTGGTATAATATAATTGTTATAGGAATTAATATGTAGAATTGAGGGAGCACTTAGAGTTTTTAGAATTAAGATAAGATATGTATGTGAGACGAATTATGAGAGCGAAAGAAGTTAGGGTGGTATTTATGGAGGAAATTAGACATACATAATTTTTATATTTATCCACAGCTACATCAGCTAGTATTCAATGCGGGCCTAATGAAATACCAACAACCAATAAGATAATATGTCCACCACAAACATGTGAGAGTATATATACACTATACTCGTGTATTGAAACACCACCGGTGGCTGGGTGTGATTGTGTAGACAATTATTTAAGGAATTCCAGTGGTATCTGTATACCTAGTGATCAATGTCCATCGCGTAAGTACCAAATGTTTTATTTATAGCTGGAATGGCAATGAATACCTATAAGTCACATTGATTGCCATTCCAGCCATTCATCTGATATATCTTTGCGGGATCCAAAAAATGTGATATATTATGACAATTGGGATTTCAAATTAATAGCTTTTCACTGAATGCATATGAAAGCAATTACATCAGGAAAATAATTAAAAATTTGTTTCAAGAATATAATTTAAAATTGGTTCAAGAGTTTAATTTAAAAATTTGTTAAATTTATTTTTTATAACTAAAAAAGGTAAATTCCATACGGTTGAAGTTGCAGGTCACGCAAATAAGATTAAATAAATTGTATATTTAAAATACAATTTCTCTATTTCAGCATCTGAACTCTTGCATTGTGGTCCAAACGAAGTACCTACCACCGATAGAATTGTATGTCCACCGCAGACTTGCGACAGTATTTATAAGTCGTTCCAATGCGAGGTAAAACCGCCTGAGCCTGGCTGTGACTGCCTTCAAAACTATCTGAGGAATGCAACTGGAGTATGTATCCCGAGTGACGAATGTCCATCGAGTATGTATTAAAATTTGTTAAAATAAATAAATTACTAATAATAAAGAAGAATATTTTTTCCCCAAATTATCGGGGTACTTAATGTTACATCTAATCTGCAATACTATCAATATAAGGATAACAATATAAAAATGTTTACAATAATCAATACACTACAAAAATAGCCATTTTCCAAACAGTGGCAATAAAGAAGAATGAAGAAGCATGGGGTTGATGCTAAGAATATATGTTACAGTTTATAATATTATTTTATATTGAAATGTAGTATTACGATTGTAACACAAAATATGTTGTATCAGGTCACTTATTAATCGATTCTTATATTTCATCCACAGCTCCAGTATCATCTCCAAAATGTGGACTTAACGAAGTAGCTACTGATAATGCGATAATATGCCCACCTCAGACTTGTGAAAGCCTCTACACAATGTATGACTGCTTGCCAAATCTTCCTGTACCAGGATGCAACTGTATTGACGGTTATTTCAGAAACGCTAGCGGAATATGCGTTCCTACAGACGAATGTCCACGTATGTATCTGTATTATATAAAAGCATAACATTTATATTTTTTTATGATTAAAACTGTACCAGTCTAGGTACAGTTTTAATCATGTTTATTATTGACTTTTCATTAAAGGATTTTCATTTCATTTTAATCTATTCTATAATAAAATACTCTTCAGTCTAACAAAAAGTGTAAAAATAAAATTGATTACAAATTTTTACTGCATGGTGATTCTTAAAAAAAAATTAATATCTAGTAATTGATTGATTCATCAGCTATCTAAGCCATAAAAAAGATTCTTCAAAATTTTACTACCATAAGAATACAAACATCACTTTATATGAATCCGACATTGTAAGATTTTATATTCAGAAGATAATAAATTGATTTTAGAGTATTGACATCGTATTCTTCACCATATATAAACATATAAATGAATTAATTTTATATTTTTTTCTTCATCAGCTCGTGTTTATGATATAAAATGTGGACCCAACGAGATAAAGAAAGACAAAAAAACTGAGTGTCCTCCTCAGACTTGCGAGAGTTTATATACTATAAACTTTTGTTTACCTCAAGACCCAGAACCTGGATGCGATTGCATTGAAGGTTACCTTAGAAATGACTTTGGAACATGTATACCGAGTAGTGAATGTCCCACGTGTATGTATTCTTACAGCCTATTGAATTTATTTTGAACTTAAAATCTATTTGTATAAGTTTCTTAATAGTGTATTTTTTGTAGATGATAATGATTTTGGCTATAGTGATGAAAGTGAAGAATCTGATTATGATACGAATTCCGTGTCATCAACAACTAGTCAGTCATCGTCATCATCGTCATCAACCAGTCAAAGTACATCAAGGACAAATTTAAGCGATTAAATTATTATTATCAAGCCCATCAAAATAATTGTATACTTATAAAATTTTGTTATTTTGTTAAATACTAGCCATAGTATTTAGTCCGTAATTTAATAAATCTGTATAATTTTCTCCTAAAAGTATTTGCTACTTTTGTCTTAGCCACTAATATTATTTTGTGACGTTAACGTGAAACATGTCAAATATATTTATAACTCAGTCTAAAACAAATGGAAAATATGTATTTTATTAATTTAATTGAAAATCAAACTTCTAAGTCAAATGTCGAATCGCTACAAAGTCGAATATACTATAGCTGTCAAATGGTATTCTCGATTCAAACTTGAATATGACAGAAGAATAACAAAAACATAAATATCCAAAAGGACAGACACCTGTATAATACGACTTTCGACATAATGCCAGAAAGGGCAAAACTATCAATATTTACGCAGATATGTCATTTATTCAATGATATTTATTTGATTCCGATTTGAACGCGTCAAAAATTATCCTGCAGATATAATGGCTGACAGGATTCAGGGGAAGAAGAAAATGTTTCTGTGTATGAAAATGTGTACATTTGTCATACACTACGTACCACCACCGACTTAAATGGCTATCTAATAAAATAATCCGAGAAGAGTGTTCACTTTTTTTTTCATAATTAAAAATAACCTCGAATAAACAAACCTCCTTCGGTTTTATAGACTGCTACTACCTCGTTGGTAAATCATACATATTGTTATAAATTTGGAATATTCTTATATATTTGGAATATTATTATATATTCAGAAAATACCATTTATCATTTAAGCTGTTATTGTTATTTATTATATTATATTGTATCGTATTACAGTATTATTATTCCAGTTAATAAAGTGTTACTTACCAAAATGGAATAGAATATATTATTTGATATTATTTTAGTCGTCATTCCTTCGACCACGTAACTATTGGTTTGTTGGTATTAAAATCTAATCTGGAGGCGTATTATGAACTCTTTAAAATCCAGTCAGTTTCCAGGCAGTTCAGTTTACGGCCTTAAACTGAATGGGAATAAGAGATTATGAAAATACGCCCCCTGATTTTAATTATATATATCTATTACATATCAGTCAAATCTACCGTCAATTTCGAATGTAGTTTGAGCAGACAAGAACTTGGCTCAAGAACAAGGTTTGGTCGCACTCAAGTGAAATTAGATATAATTGTAATAATATGTACATATTAAAGGTTTAGTTTAGGGTGAACTACGATAGTAGTTTATACTCCGATAGAAACCCTAAGGTTTATGAGTTCATATTTAATCGACTGTCCTCGACGAGATACAATGATTAGGCGTGAGATAGGAGAAAATAGTGAGACAGACACACTTTTGCATTTATTTTATTACTAAAGATTACTATGGAGACAATCTCCTTTGTTTATTGAAAATTACCTTTTTGGTCGTAAGTTGCTGATTTTATTACAAGTTGTATTGCAATAATTTTCTCCAGTTTAAGTAGGTTCTTGGAAACTAAGTACTATAGTGATGATACTGAAATGAAATTGGAGTCGAATATTTGTTGAATATAAGTTTATTGGTTATATTTATTATTTTGTGGTTTCGTAAGCTCTATAAAATCGGTACGACTGAGAAATTCGAGGCTATAATAATATCTAATACTATCTAAAAAGTATTACTAAAATTGACTACACTAGGTTCGATATAATAAACGTAAAAATCGTTACCATTTCCAATTGGGTGGCACATCCTCTTAAAAAGTTTCAGCAATATAGTGCTGGATATCACGTTACATGTGATACTCGTGATTATGTGTTGCCATTCCGAATAACTAAGAAGTTATTCTTTATTCTGTACTTTATTAAATTCAATGCCTATCCCACCGTTCAATCAAAACAAAAGCTTCTAGGTGGCTAAAATAGATGAGAGATAGCCTTCCATGATCATTATAGTAAGGTATATTCAAGATTTATTTTTTAATTCCACTTTGTATCTTGTGGTTCAGTTATTTGAGTATTCTAGTTTTGGCTTTCAGCTGAAAATACAATTTATGACTATCCCTGTTCCCTGTAACTATAATGTAAACCGCAAATAATAATAAACTTTCAATAAAAAATAGGAATTTGGAAAAACTACAACAAAGAATTACCTTTATAAGTTCAAGTAAATTTTATCTATTGCAGTTTGGCAGGTAACCATTAAATATATATTTATTGAATTTAGTATTTATATGTACCTAAAACGTGTTGTCAACACTTGTAATTATTTTCAAGTTTTTTTATGATTTCCGTTACTTATCGTGCCTCACGATATTTGTTATTGATTAGTGAGCAACATTTAAATTTAATAAATTCAGGTTATAAACCTGAATTTATTATTACATTATATTTACAAATTTTATGCTTTATATTAAACGTGTTAATATTGTTTATGTAGATTAAAATTCAGAATTTCTATTCATCTCTTTAGAATTTATTAAAAACTATAATATAAAAACACTTCTTTACAATCTAACAATTTTTAATTGTATTTCAAACAAAAACAAGTTTTTTTTATTTTAAGTAGAATAACGTATATACTATATTCCCGTATACTACAAACATTTGTATTTACCTATATAACTATCCCTATGAATTAGTCTAGATGTTTGTATGTATGATATGTGTACATGTGCCTTTGTTATGTAATTTTTTATCTGTTGTCTAGTATTCTTATGAGTTCTTTAGAGGAGACCATGCAGTTGATAAATTTAATTTCAATATTCCGGATAAACGATACAGTTCAATACCAGACAGACCAATAATATGTAAACATAATTCATACTTAGCAGCATCGATAACTTTTTACCTCATACAGAGACGAACTTAAAAATTATGCTGTTATAAATAATGAGTAAACACTTGAAAAAAGTGTTATAAGATACTGATGAGATAGCTATAATTACAGATGTTACCTGAAACTTTTGAGACTTTTATATTGTTTGATACGATTTATGATGGTGGCAAATATAAAAATATGGCATATGGCAGTTCTAGTGATACTTTCTATCAAATAAAATTCAGCCTTTAAGTAGTGAAAAGCTAAGAATCAGACGGAGTTTGGTAGTTATAATATTAGTATTGATTATGAGTTAATTGTAAGTATAATATTTTGTGTGTGTATTTAAAAAATAAATTAAGTATAAAGTAAATAAAAAAACCTAGAGAACATTCATCTAGACTGCTGTCGTTATTAATAATTATTAAATGAGTTAAGTATAACATATAATATTAAATAATGACACTCAAGGACCTAACTCCGTCACTGTGCCGATAAAAACACCTTTTTTACTTCTGTTCATTTAAATGGTAATTAACACGTTTCATTAAACTGAATTGAATACATCCAGCGTGGTGTTTGGCATCCTTTATTATTTTTCCCCTATTATAAACACATTCGATATAAGCTTGGTTTTTACTTTATACATTCATTTTATATCAGCTCACCATGTGGGTTCTATTATTGTTGAGTATTTTAGCCTCTGTTGAGGTGGACGCGGGGAGACCTAAACCTCCGGTCTGCACACCAAAACCAGGTATGTAATCTTGGTTACTATTCCTTTTTTAAAAAAAAATTGACAAGGCATTTATATAACAACAATAAATTGCTAACTACAAAACTCAAGCATGGTTGTACCAATTAAACATATTTTTTGTAATGTATCTTAAAAATATTTACGTAAAGGAAAAATGGAAAAAAATTTGTTAACGCTTTTTTTACAACTGTCAATTTAAATATTTTATAGAAGAATAATCTTATATTCTTATAATAAATCCATTATATTATGCCTTCATAATGGCACTGTGGGGTTAAACGAGGAAGAATGCGGGTGAATGGAGTACAGCGGGGTATAACGAAGAAGAACAGGGTAGAATAGGATTGAACGGGGTTGAGCGGAAATATTTATTAATCCCGTCATCTAGTTCAAACTTTTAATTAATATATTATGTTACTTATCCATACTAATATTATTGTAAAATGGAATAGTGTATGTATCCTCTTGACGTTTATGTTTCATGTAGTATTTACTAAGGAAAAGAATGTAGAAATACAAATGAAAATTTTGATCAATTGTAGTTTTTTCTATTATTTGACGCCGGCGATTATAGCATTATCGACAACTTAAACATCTATTTCCTGGGGCTGGGGCTGTCCTTTAGAAAAGGATAAGTAACTTTTAATTTTCTCTACATTCTGAATTATATTTTTATGTCCATTGTCTGTAGTTTTTCATACGTGATTGGCATCGGTTTTTTATTCTTTATATTTATATATTTAATTGTAAATTATTTTACTTACTTATCCAACAGCAAACAGTTATTTGCACTAACCGTACCTGTAGAAAGTCCTCCAAATGTACTTTTATTGTTATTTAAATTTTATTTGTATTGTTCACATTAAATTTATATACAGTAATAAAGTAATAAATATAATTTCTATTAACGACATTGTGAGTTGATATGTTGACACAATAGTTGAATTTGGTTTTTTATTGTAAATTTCATACATTTAAAAAACATCTAGAAAAACGCAATCTTCACAGACTCACAATTAATTAGAGGTCGTTGCTCCGTGTAATGAAGAATCGTCAAGACTAAACTTAGCCTTGTAGTACCTTAGGGACAGGATAGCACTGTAACCAGGTGCAGTCATAGTCAGAGTACCAACATGATATATTTCATAGCATCACAACTTGTTCCGTGTAGTTTTTATATAATCTACTCATTCTATGTTCTTCGGCGGATTTTTGGTCTTCGAAGAATTTCCACACGTAAAAAAAAAGATTACGTTTGCGTTATCGAGTCTTTGATAATCTTTTTTTCCCAACTTACCACAACAACTTAACCGGTTTGTATAACATTAAAATAAAAAAGTGATTGTTCAAACACTTGTTGTATGATAAAAAGTTGATCAATGCGTGAGTCAACATCGATGAAAAAATATTTGAACACCTGCCTCGAAATGAATTATGGAGGAACTGTTTACAGTATCAAGTGGCTAATGTGCCAAATAAAATACATGTTTTATATTTTTTATATAGTAAAATAGGTATTAACTACAGTAACCATTTGAATATCAACATTTTCTATATTATATATACTAAATACTGATAAATTAACGAGACAAAATAAAATCAATTTTACACTTCTTAAAAGATGTACTTAAGCTGTTTATTTAAAACTATTACCATTCGTGTTCACTCGATCGTATTATTGGAAGTTTAATGGGAAGTTGGAGAAGAATTTGAATTGGAGAAATATAAAAGGTTCTGAATAAGTCTATAGGTAAGTCTGTAGAATACAAAATCCGTCTCTACAGTAATCATTTAAGCTATATATGGATATAACCAATAGGTTTAATCTGGAACGATTCTAAATAGAAATGGGCACTCACATTATTTTAATTTTTGCGTGCGTAAGAAGTCTGTACTTTATTTCCACATGAACTCTCTTCTAGGCGCCTTGTCGTTCACAGTTACCTATTTTGTACGTTTGCGGATTCACAAATATTCAGTTTTGAATTTGATTCTAAAGATAAAAAAGTTAGATTGTTTAGTAATGAAGTCGATTCAGATCATCCATGATGTAAGTTTTTTTAATTTAATTATTTATTAGGTTCACCAACGGTATTAATTATAGTATTATTATACTACTATTATTATTATAATAATACTACTATAATAATTATATTACTATTACGACATTATTACTTATTTTGTACAATGTTTACTGTATAGTTACATAAAGATAAACATTGCATCCATATACTATGTGATTTCTAGGTTTAATATTTGTAATTTGTCATCATCATCATCATCATCATCGCAGCCCGGAAGACGTCCACTGCTGGACATAGGCCTCCCCCAAAGATCTCCACGACGATCGGTCCTGCGCTGCTCGCATCCAATGCCTTCCCGCGATCTTGACCAGATCGTCGGTCCACCTTGCTGGAGACCTTCCCACGCTGCGTCTTCCGGTCCGCGGTCGCCACTCGACTTTACTGCCCCAACGGCCATCTGTCCTACGAGCTATGTGCCCTGCCCATTGCCACTTCAAAGTCGCAATTCTTCGGGCTATGTCGGTCACTCTGGTTCTTCTGCGGATCTCCTCATTTCTGATTCGATCACGCAGAGAAACTCCGAGCATAGCCCTCTCCATTGCCCTCTGAGTGACTCTGAGCTTGTTGATGGGGCCCATATTTAGCGACCACGTCTCTGTTCCGTAAGTCATCACTGGCAACACACATTGGTCGTAAACCTTCGTCTTGAGACACTGCGGAAATTTGGACGAAAAGATATATCGGAGCTTCCCGAACGCTGCCCATCCGAGTTGGATTCGACGATTGACCTCTTTCTCGAAATTGGATCTACCTAGCTGGATAGTTTGCCCTAAGTATACGTAGTGATCGACAATTTCGAGTGTAGAATCTCCGATTTTTACGGGAGCAGGTACGACATGGACGTTTGACATAATTTTCGTCTTGTCCATGTTCATTTTAAGACCTACTCCTTGTGAGACTCTACTGAGGTCTTCGAGCATTTTGCTAAGGTCTTCCAGGGTCTCAGCCATGACCACGATATCGTCGGCAAATCGAAGGTGATTGACGTACTCGCCGTTAATGTTGATGCCCAGCCCGCTCCAGTCCAGAAGCTTGAAGACATCTTCCAACGCAGCGGTAAACAGCTTTGGCGATATGACATCGCCTTGTCTGACACCTCGCTGCAGTTGGATAGGCTTCGAATTCTGGTCGTGGAGGCGAACTGACATAGTGGCGTTTTCATACAAACATTCAACGCTTCGATATATCGATAGTCAATTTGGCACCGCTGGAGAGATTAAGCCCACGTCTCGATCGAATAATATCCACAAACGCCAAGCAAAGTGGCAGGTTGTATTCTTCGGTCTTCTGAATTACCTGCCGCAGCGTATGAATGTGGTCTATGGTACTAAAGCCTTTTCGGAACCCGGCTTGTTCGGGAGGCTGGAAGTCGTCAAACCTGCGCGCGAGACGATTCGTGATGACTCTCGAAAACAACTTATAAACATGGCTCAGCAGTGTTACGGGTCTGAAATTCTTCAGAAGCGATTTGTCTCCCTTCTTGAAGAACAGAACCACCACACCCCTTTGCCATGCTTGAGGCGTTTTGCCCTCGAGGATGACGGAGTTGAATAGCTTCTGGAGGATAGAACAGGTCTACCTGCCCTCAGAAGCTCAGCAGTAACTCCATCATCGCCCGGCGCCTTGTTGTTTTTAAGTTGTTTAAGAGCCATACCAATCTCGTACAGGCTGACGTCCGGGATATCTTCGGTATAGTGTCGGGTTAATTTGGCTCTAGGGTCGTTTCGTTCGCCGTGTTGTTAACAGGTTGTCGTATATAACTGTCCATAGAACTTCTCAATTTCCCTCAAAAGTTCGGGTTTAGACGATACGATCCTGCCGTCATCCGTCTTAAGTCGCGTCAGCTGGCTCTGTAATCCCTGTTAAAGACTTTTGAGCCCTTGTTTCTCTCAATAGCCTCCTTTACACAATTTGTGTTAAAGTGGCGTAAGTCACGAGTCAAGGACTTAGAGATCTGCCTGCTAAGTTGCCGATACTGAGAAGCGTCAGTCGGAGACTGCAGGACCATACTTCGCCTTTCATCCATCAATTTGAGGGTAGAGATAGATATTTTTCCGGTTCTTTCTGCGCGGCGGGTTTTGAAGTGCTTAGACCCAGCCGCACGGACAGTTTCCACGAACCTGTTGTTGTAATCGTCCACGTCAACGCAGTCACCAAGGCTTTCGAAACGGTTTTGCAATTCTAGCTGAAAGCTTTCGGGGTTTTGGATCTGTATAGGTGTAGGGCGGAGCGTAGATTTCATCAGTCGGGATCGTTCGAGTTTCAGACTGATTCAATGTGCCTCTTACAATCCGGTGATCACTTCCAATTTTGACGGAATTGATCACAGAGACATCATTGAAAATTCTCGTTGACAAGATGAAATCTATCTCGTTTTTTGTGGCACCATCGGGACTAATCCAGGTCCATTTCCGGTGTTCCGGCTTCCTGAAGAAGGAGTTCATCATAAAGAGGTTCTCCTTCTCCATGAAGTCGGCCAGCATTTGACCTCGGAAGTTCCGATCACCGATACCAAATTGCCCCACTCTCAGCTCATCACCGCTTCGTTTGCCCAATTTTGCGTTAAAGTCCCCCATGACAACGTTATTGAGTCTTTGTACTATGTATGGCTCTGGAGATATCCTCATACATATCAACCTCATCGTTGCGTCGAAGTTGGGTCGTACACTTGGATGACCTTCAATGAATACCGTTTGGTAATTGTATCAAATCGACACGCTCTCGACCTTGATAACATTATTCACAAGGGACTTGACGAGGAACCCGACACCGCCTTGGGGCAGTTGATCGCCCTCCCGGAAGTAAAGCAGATTGCCGGATTTCAGGACTATCGAGTCCTCCCCCTTTCTTCGGACTTCAGATAATCCCACGACATGCCAGTGCAATCTGCTCAACTCTTCCTCCAGTTCAATTAACTTTTCGTCGGTCCGCAGTGTTTGAACGTTGTATGTTGCCAGGGCCAGTGGTCGTCGTTTGTGGTAGCCTGGTCTTACCCGGAGATTCTTCGCACCCCCTGCCCCGCCGTTTCCATGACCGCTACCATGGTCAAGACTAGCGGGGCCGCCGGGGACTGGGGGCCGGGGCGTTGGGTGTAAATTCATTTGGGGGGATATTGCCATAATCGCCACGCTTGGCATGCGGGTTGGCGATCGCAGTATGATGGTAGGTACTCAGTAGGACGCTGCTGCCCGTCCACTGGTCGATGAATCCCTTAGTCGCCTTTTACGACACCCACGGGAAGAGAGGGGGTGGTGCTATTCTTACAACGACACCACACGCTTGAAATTTGTCAAAGTATGTAATATTTAAAGGTATTTTTTTTCTTTAGTAAAGCCTAAGTGTGGTCCAAATGAAGTACCAAGTAATTGCAAGATAGTTTGCCCACCACAAAGCTGTGAGAGCATTTATACTACGTACATGTGTGAAAAACTACCTTGTGAGAAAGGCTGCAATTGCATTAATGGTTATCTTAGAAATGCTAATGGCACTTGCATTCCAAACGAGCAATGTTTTTCAGGCAAGTAACATTTAAATTCTAATTCTAATAAATTTGATGAATAGAAAAAAAAATAAGTTATAGTTTATAGATTAAATGAATAATATTGCTATGCTTTTAACGTCGAACGGTTAAATGTACATATTAGTTCGTGAAGATTAGATTCTAACGAGATAAAATGTTTAAATAGACGTAAATAGAGTTTAAAATCACAAATATATTAATCAATAATGTATTACTAAAATCAAAAATCGACTAACTCATATCCCTTTACAAATTCATCAAATAGTCGCTCGATAAGATTTTATATCGATGAACATATTATGTAACTGCAATTAGTAATGCTTGTAAATGATCTGTAATATTTTTTTTTTGTGTCAAGGGACAACTCTTTATTGTAAGTAGTAATTAAATGCAATTAAGATCATAATTCCAGTACACCGATATAATATTTTTGATATATTATTCTTATCTTATAGTGGTCTCATATATGATAGTCTTTCTGTTATTAACTGATTATGTTTACAGATCCGGATCCTGTTTGTGGTCCAAATGAGGAACCAAGTGATTGTAAAATAGTTTGCCCACCACAATCCTGCGCAAGTATTTACTCTTCATACCTATGTGATAAAGATCGTCCGTGTGAAAAAGGTTGTAATTGCATCAATGGTTACCTTAGGAATTCAGAAGGCACATGTATACCGAGTGAACAATGTTCTATAGGTAAATATATAGTATCGCTTTATTATTGAATATTGAATCTTACGTTCAATAACAATTACCAAATAAATTCAATGACTTTATTATGTCTTCTTTTGTTATATTAATATTGAAACCTTACAACTGTATCGATATATTTTCGTCATATCAATATCTGTACTAGTGACTTTATTATTCTATACATAAAATAGAATAGTCGGATAATTTGTTGATGATAGTAAAATAGATAATAAGAAAATTGATATTTAGTAATTTGCAAGTATGTAGAGAAAGTTTTGTCTAAATATATATAGATACAGATAATTATTAGAAAAATGTATTATTATTATATATGATATTAAAATACGTCAAAATTAATCCGTATTAATTAAATTGTATAGAAATATATACCTGTTATATACAATAAAAGATTTGAAGGGTTTCCGCAAGGAAGGGCCCATTTGAGTGGATGTAGATTTTTCTTGTATTTTACAACTTGCTGGCAACTGACAAACCATCGAACTTGCTGGGTATTTAAATAATATTTTACATGAAATATTCAATAAAATTAGTGATTTTCAATTTAACTGCTGTGCTGCACATGTTTCATAAATTGCACCTGTGCAAAGTCGGGAAGGATACTCAGTAGAAAACACTTATACTTCATAATTCTTAAAATTTATACTATAATTCTATTGTATAATATATAGATAATAATTTGAGTTACTACTCCTGTTGTCAGTAACTAAGTAGCTTGGTGTAGTATCAAAAATTACATTGCATACACTCTCTTTCGTTCAATAATTTATCACGATTATGTACTACCGAACTGGTGATTTTATATATGAATATATATGTATATGATTATTTAAGAAATTGTTCAAAGGCTAGTTAAAAACTATATTAAAAAAAAACAATTAGTTAAAGACTCGTTTAATATACAAAAAAGTATCGACTTAAAAAAGATGTACCAGTAGAGTTTGTTGCCAGTTCATCTCTACTGTAAAATGTCTGACATGAATAAATAATTCCAATATTGTCTTTGAAAAGTTATTATGAAATGAGAAACTATTCTTTTTAAACTTTTATAAAGAAAGGATTCTTTCAGGATCCACTACTCCTGAATGTGGTACAAATGAAGTATACAGTGATTGCAAGATAGTATGTCCACCGCAGTCTTGTGAGAGCATCTATACAGACTATTTGTGTCTTAATGGAGGTTGTGAGCCAGGCTGCAACTGTATTGATACCTATTTACGAGATACTAACGGGACATGCATACCCAGTGACCAGTGTCCAACACATAACTGGAATGGTGAGATGGATTTAACATGAAAATTTTTAATTCTCACCCAAAACCTTACCGTATTGTTTTTTGGGTTTTAACTAAATTGGAAAGTATACTTCAGAATTTACTGTAGCAATATATATAACAATAGTTTGTAAAAATACTGTCTTACTTGCGGTCTCAAAGTCGCGGGTTCAGTTCGCACGGTATAAACATTTATATTCATGATGTGTATCGCTCTGGGTGATTTTTATGTATATTTGTATACAAAAAAGTATATCTATGTGATTATATCAGTTGTCTAGTACCCATAACACAAACTTGGGACAAGCTGGCACTGTGTGAATTGTCCTGATATATTATTATTATTATAGTTATGTATAATTTCTACCTTTTGTTTGTGATACAGGTTGTAGTGTTAATGAAACCTATGTAGACTGTGCATTTCGATGTCCTAATCAATACTGCCCAGAAGATGACAGTCGTTTACAGGTCGCTTGTAAACCTGGCCGGCCCTGTCCACCTGGTTGTGCTTGTAACCCCGGCTATAGAAGAAAGAGCACTGATGACGAGAGTTGTATTTTAGCTTCAGACTGCCGTAAGTTACTATTATTAAAATGGATATACATTTTTACGTCCAATTTATATATCTTATATATGTTTTTATGACTATCTGATGGAAAGTCACAATTGTCGCTTTTCTGTATGCAACAATTGTGACTTTGTACTACTATAGACTTCACATCGTTACGTGACCGTATACAGGGCATCTCGAGCGTTAGGTACTATAATATTACTGGGAACTAAGATGTTATCCTTGTTATTTTAATTATCTACTGTGGAATTGACTCGTATTGGTTTTAATTAACTACATCAAATAAGAAAGGAAATGATTATTAATTTATGCCTATACAAATTCAATATAAAATTTTTATTAAATTAAACAGAGTACCTACAATGAATTCATTAGATCAATTTTATTAATTAGTGTAAATTTTGTTTAGAGACACGAGTTCGTTTCTAATACGAATTTGCAAACTATCGTACTTTTTTATTGTGTATTTCAATTATTTTTTACATGAGATAATATTATAGAATTGATGAACTCTGATTAGAAATTTATTTTTTTCCGATAAAAATATGTGTATTACTACAGTTCGCTTTATAAACATTGCAAACACTTACAAATTATTATTTATTTCAGCCCCAGTGTCATGTACTAGACCTAACGAAGTATGGGCTCCGTGTGCATCGGATTGCCTCAATGAGAAATGCGAGGATATTGACAATCCACCCCCATGTGAACCAACGCCAGACAATTGTCAACCTCAATGCGTGTGCAAGAAAAACTCTTGTAGAAACGATAAAGATATTTGCGTACCTTCTGGCAAATGTATAGGTTTGTATCGTCACGCTATTATTTAACTAGCTCAGCCTATAATTTTGTATCCTTTGTATTGGAAATCAGAATAACAATTAAGATTAATATTATGAAACGAAAACTCTCCTTGTCTGTGTAATGTCTGTTTGCCTGTTTATATGTTCTTTATAAGCAACAAGATCAAACATATTATATAATATTATATTTACTCAAAATGTATTTTTAACTTCAAAGTGTATATTTATTTTTACAGTTCCAAAACCACCGATATATGATAGATGTACTGCAACTTGCGCTGTACCAAATCCATCTAATTGTTCATCAGGTCCAGTCAATAAATGTGAATCTGGATATATACTATCAAAGCAAGGAGGAAAATGCATTAAATTAGAAGATTGTCCACGTATGTAAAATATAGAAGTAATATTCGTAATGCTATTCCTTGAATTTCCAGGAAATATAACTAACAACTTGTCAAATTTAACATCAGTCCATTAAAGATTCCAATTGAAATTGAAGTGGCTATAGACAAACAGATACAAAAATAAAAAGTGTCTACGTTTTGTGTTTATCGACGAGGCGATATAACACTGAATCTATAAGAGATTTTTATATACATTTTATATACCTTATTTTAAGAATATAATTGCTTTCTAGAGAACCTGGGCTGTAACGGTGATCCAAATGCTGTTATTAAGACATGTCCTTCGCCCTGCCCATCAACATGTGAACAACCAAATTCATTGCCATGCAAGAGACTATGTTTAGCCTTTGGATGTCAATGTGCACCAGGTTACATTCTTTCTGAAATTGACGGAAAGTGCATTCTACCTGAGAAATGCAAATGTATGTATGAACAACAATTTGTATTTGATATTTCAATATAATTATTACTCGAAATTAAAAAGAGTCACCTATTAACCTTTATTTAGAGTATGATTTGTTTTTTTTCAAAATCGGCTTGTATTGACTTATATTTTGATAAAGATATTTTTGAAATATGTATTTTTGAAGATAAATTACTGTTAATAACTTTGCCCATCTAAATTAATTCTATTTACACTTATCTATAATACCCCTACAATTTAGTTTCAAACATAATATAATATATATTGTTAGGTGTAACTTCCTGTGGTGGCGCCACCGTCGTGCGGCGCGTCTATAAAAGGCTGCGAAACCCGGTGTGCGGCCTCTCTTTTGGTCGACAGACGTGCTCTCGAACGAATCTCCGTATCATACCGTGTTTGCTTTATAAGTTCTTTTACTGATTTTGTTAAAATTAATTATACGATTTGTTATAAGTTTCTTTTATTTAATTAAATTTAGAGGATACTCCTAACATCAGAAGTGGGATTCGAGGCCATTTTTGGTCGCGAATAACATTTTTGACTAAGGATTGATTACATGTCGAGTAGAAAACGCCCATCGTTACGAGAGCACGCGTCTCCGTTCTCCACCTATCAAATATAGGTGAACTAGGAGCGTTAATGGACGCAAGTCTCAACAATTGGTGTCGCTGGAACAACGTGCGGGTAGCTCAGCGAAACAGGGGTTCGCATATAGCTGCCGACGTAGATGCTGACGACGTGCCTGCGCCGGCACCGGCCCCGCCGCGCTGTCGCCGCCCGCGCAGACAGTCGGCGCGCCAGCCAGACCCGCCAACGCGGCGCCAACGAGCGCACCTGGTGCGGTGGCGCGATCGGTTGCTACCTCAACAGACATTACGAAACGTCTTATCGACGTTTAATGTCATGAATCTGGTGAGATCTTTCCATTTTTATATTTCATACTTTTAAGTATGCGCAACATTGACAAGTAGTTGCGATGAAGTAGATCGTGGTCATTCAGTGAACCGACAGACGGTGTCAGTTTTGTTGTTAAAAGGTGAAGCAAGTGCGTAGTAACGTGAGTGAGTTAGTGATGATCATACTTGGTCATATATGATAGCAAACTACGTAGTACAGAAGTAGATTCTCAAATACGGTGCTATAGTTGCAATATAGTCGGGTAGTATAGAAGTAAATTTAGTTCTTTTGAAAAATAACCTACGGACAAAATCGCATATGCGTTTTGTAAGAATATAGGTCATACTGAATACGCTTACTTTACAAAGAAATAATCTGAATTAGGCTAACGCAAGTTTTCGCCGTGACTTACTAGTGATAATGCACATTTACGAAATTATCGCGCCGTAATATGCGGGTACCCACAGATGTTTAGTACAATAGTGGTTCAACAACTTCTTTTAAATCAAATGATCGTCTTCGTGTTGTAAGATGCACATATTATGCTGTTTAGACGAAACGGATATGCGGTCTGATTATACCCACAAATGTTTAGTACGATAGTAGTTCAACTTCTTTTAAATCAAATGATCGTTTTCGTGTTGTAAGGTGCACATATTATGCTGTTTAGACGAAATGGATATGCGGTTTGATTACTTTCTTACTTAATCTGCAAAATTCATAACATCTCACAAGAAGTAACTTCTTAGTACCTTGTGATTATCTTAAAGACGTCGGTGCTCATTGGTAATGATATTTTTAATATTGAAAAGACATTGCGTATACGAAATAACGATTTTTAGCGTATTTTTAGAAACCGCTCTTTTGAAAATAATATAGCGCGTAGTGAATCGATAGCGCGACTTCAATTGATAAATACACCGTTCCGTGGTGATGAAAAAGAAAATTTGTAGTCTTAATGAATAAACATTCTGAATACTTTTTAGTGGCTCAGTCACAGCTATGGTCAATACCGTATAGAGATACACATTCGACTACTTGTTAACGAAGTAGCGTTATGTAGGTACGACGGTTAATTACCGAATCGACCATATAAATTATTTTACAGTTATAAATTAAGCATGCGTGTGAAAATCCAGGTTTACAATTCATTTCCGCTAAGTGTAATTACCTCGCTCCTGAGGTGGTGTATCCTAGGAGACTGGAACTATTTGTAAGAGTCAGGTCAGGCCGAACGTATCCAAAAAGAAATGATGGATTCTTCGTTCAAACAAATTTCAATTTGAGCACTTCATTCATTCATCAAGTAATACTTATTTTTGAATCTTCCGCGTGAACTATCTTATCGTATAAGGAACGAGCGAGGAAGACTAAGTCTGTTGCTTTTTTGAACACTTGTGGTAACTGTACATTTTAAGTTCAAATGTGTGAATACAAACTGCGAATTAGTACTAAATCATTAAAACCTAAATATTAAATACGCAATCAATTGGTTGATTAAGTAAATAAGATTAAAGCGGTGTTAGAGTAGGAAAGTCTCTACAAGCAGTCCTCGTTCATGTGTATGACGGACAGAGAAAATAAACGCCGTAGTAGTTTTGGATACCAAAAACTGTCGAAGCTGCTTGTTGCGGAATACGATGTTGTCGGTTGAGACGATGTATAATAAAAATGAACTGATCAAATGCAAACAATAACATTTAAGGAGAGCTGACATGGTTTGTGCAATATTTAGTTGATATTATTTAGTGATACTGGTCAGCTATCTTATTCGGTATATCCCGTGATACACCCAAATCGCCTCTTGAAATTTTAACGGGGAAAAGAATAGAAACTAGAGAGATGAGATCATCTCTATATTGGCTAGTCAATCCGCGTTGCTTATCTTTGACTATTTACGGACTGAAGTCCATACGGATGCAAGTGCACTAGGTTACGGTACTAATTCAAATAGGAAAAGACGGACGCATACACGCAGTAGCTTTACAATATGTGCAGATCCAAGGTACTACTCCTGAGCTCGAGATACTTGCTGTTGTCAAGGCATTGCAACATCGTCATCTCATCGGAAAACATTTTAGGGTAGTAACTAACTGCAACGCCCTGAAAATTATAAGAGGATCTCTTGCCTAGGGTAGTGCGCTGGTGAATGTGCCTACAGGATCGTGATTTGACGTTTGAATATCGTAAAGGTTAGTTCATATCTCACGCATCGAAATCCTTTTAATAACCTCACGAATCGTAGTAGCATATGCTGCTGATAATGAAACTACTTGTACAAGGGCAGTTGAATAGTTTGCGATATATAAAGAAAATAAATCTTAAAGAAAATAATTATTAACATATCTCTATAGGAAAAAGTCGCGATTATTGTTATATTTCTAAAGACTACGTGTTGACCATATTGACGTGGAAACGTTGTCGAGTTCAAATTAGTTGACGGTTTCAAAGTAGGGTCCATCTTGTAAAGAAATACTATAGAGCACGGAATTGTTTGTTTAATGTGTAAACATGTTACCTTATACTTTATATCACGTTCCTCTCCACCCAATGTCCAGGTCCACTATACTTTCAATACCTTATGATGCAGTACATAAAATGTAACGAATACAAATATATTCTCGTACACTCAAATGCTTTCTCTATTGTTCTAACCTATACAGAGTCAAAATAGAGTAGAGTCAAAAAGGAATTTGAGTTTTTCTAATGTAATTTGTATTTTTGAGATAAATTTTATCGTAAGGTATTTAGGTAACATCGTGTAAGGCTTTGTGCAGCATCGAGTGTGTTATAGGATACACCTCGTGTAAGGCTTTGTGCAGCGTCGAGTGTGTAATAGGTAAGCACCTCATATAAGGCTTTGTGCAGCATCGAGGGTGCTATAGGATACACCTCGTATAAGGCTTTGTGCAGCATCGAGCGTGTTATAGGATACACCTCGTGTAAGGCTTTGTGCAGCGTCGAGTGTGTATTAGGTAGCACCACGCATAAGGCTTAGTGCAGCATCGAGGGTGCTAAAGGATACACCTCGTATAAGGCTTTGTGCAGCATCGAGTGTGTTATAAGATACACCTCGTGTAAGGCTTTGTGCAGCATCGAGTGTGTTATAAGATACACCTCGTGTAAGGCTTTGTGCAGCATCGAGTGTGTTATAAGATACACCTCGTGTAAGGCTTTGTGCAGCATCGAGTGTGTTATAAGATACACCTCGTGTAAGGCTTTGTGCAGCATCGAGTGTGTTATAAGGTACACCTCGTGTAAGGCTTTGTGCAGCATCGAGTGTGTTATAAGATACATCTCGTGTAAGGCTCTGTGTAGCGTAAAGTGTGTTATAGGTTACCTCTCGTATAAAGCTTTGTGTGGCTTCTATGTATACAAGCTTAGATCAGATTTAAATTAGTCCTTGTGAGGCAACGTGATCCTACTTCCAAAAATAAAATGCTTACCACTAACTTATGGTTCACAGGTTGTGAAGAGTCACTGTTGACTCGTCTCCGAGCAATAGCCCTGAGAATACTTTCAGCCTGGACAGAGCGCATAAGATTAGCAGTCGGACCAGACGACGCGCCGTGACCAGAAAGCATCGGGGACGATGCTCCGTCAGGAGAGGCCGTGTTAGGTGTAACTTCCTGTGGTGGCGCCACCGTCGTGCGGCGCGTCTATAAAAGGCTGCGAAACCCGGTGTGCGGCCTCTCTTTTGGTCGACAGACGTGCTCTCGAACGAATCTCCGTATCATACCGTGTTTGCTTTATAAGTTCTTTTACTGATTTTGTTAAAATTAATTATACGATTTGTTATAAGTTTCTTTTATTTAATTAAATTTAGAGGATACTCCTAACATCAGAAGTGGGATTCGAGGCCATTTTTGGTCGCGAATAACATTTTTGACTAAGGATTGATTACATGTCGAGTAGAAAACGCCCATCGTTACGAGAGCACGCGTCTCCGTTCTCCACCTATCAAATATAGGTGAACTAGGAGCGTTAATGGACGCAAGTCTCAACAATTGGTGTCGCTGGAACAACGTGCGGGTAGCTCAGCGAAACAGGGGTTCGCATATAGCTGCCGACGTAGATGCTGACGACGTGCCTGCGCCGGCACCGGCCCCGCCGCGCTGTCGCCGCCCGCGCAGACAGTCGGCGCGCCAGCCAGACCCGCCAACGCGGCGCCAACGAGCGCACCTGGTGCGGTGGCGCGATCGGTTGCTACCTCAACAGACATTACGAAACGTCTTATCGACGTTTAATGTCATGAATCTGGTGAGATCTTTCCATTTTTATATTTCATACTTTTAAGTATGCGCAACATTGACAAGTAGTTGCGATGAAGTAGATCGTGGTCATTCAGTGAACCGACAGACGGTGTCAGTTTTGTTGTTAAAAGGTGAAGCAAGTGCGTAGTAACGTGAGTGAGTTAGTGATGATCATACTTGGTCATATATGATAGCAAACTACGTAGTACAGAAGTAGATTCTCAAATACGGTGCTATAGTTGCAATATAGTCGGGTAGTATAGAAGTAAATTTAGTTCTTTTGAAAAATAACCTACGGACAAAATCGCATATGCGTTTTGTAAGAATATAGGTCATACTGAATACGCTTACTTTACAAAGAAATAATCTGAATTAGGCTAACGCAAGTTTTCGCCGTGACTTACTAGTGATAATGCACATTTACGAAATTATCGCGCCGTAATATGCGGGTACCCACAGATGTTTAGTACAATAGTGGTTCAACAACTTCTTTTAAATCAAATGATCGTCTTCGTGTTGTAAGATGCACATATTATGCTGTTTAGACGAAACGGATATGCGGTCTGATTATACCCACAAATGTTTAGTACGATAGTAGTTCAACTTCTTTTAAATCAAATGATCGTTTTCGTGTTGTAAGGTGCACATATTATGCTGTTTAGACGAAATGGATATGCGGTTTGATTACTTTCTTACTTAATCTGCAAAATTCATAACATCTCACAAGAAGTAACTTCTTAGTACCTTGTGATTATCTTAAAGACGTCGGTGCTCATTGGTAATGATATTTTTAATATTGAAAAGACATTGCGTATACGAAATAACGATTTTTAGCGTATTTTTAGAAACCGCTCTTTTGAAAATAATATAGCGCGTAGTGAATCGATAGCGCGACTTCAATTGATAAATACACCGTTCCGTGGTGATGAAAAAGAAAATTTGTAGTCTTAATGAATAAACATTCTGAATACTTTTTAGTGGCTCAGTCACAGCTATGGTCAATACCGTATAGAGATACACATTCGACTACTTGTTAACGAAGTAGCGTTATGTAGGTACGACGGTTAATTACCGAATCGACCATATAAATTATTTTACAGTTATAAATTAAGCATGCGTGTGAAAATCCAGGTTTACAATTCATTTCCGCTAAGTGTAATTACCTCGCTCCTGAGGTGGTGTATCCTAGGAGACTGGAACTATTTGTAAGAGTCAGGTCAGGCCGAACGTATCCAAAAAGAAATGATGGATTCTTCGTTCAAACAAATTTCAATTTGAGCACTTCATTCATTCATCAAGTAATACTTATTTTTGAATCTTCCGCGTGAACTATCTTATCGTATAAGGAACGAGCGAGGAAGACTAAGTCTGTTGCTTTTTTGAACACTTGTGGTAACTGTACATTTTAAGTTCAAATGTGTGAATACAAACTGCGAATTAGTACTAAATCATTAAAACCTAAATATTAAATACGCAATCAATTGGTTGATTAAGTAAATAAGATTAAAGCGGTGTTAGAGTAGGAAAGTCTCTACAAGCAGTCCTCGTTCATGTGTATGACGGACAGAGAAAATAAACGCCGTAGTAGTTTTGGATACCAAAAACTGTCGAAGCTGCTTGTTGCGGAATACGATGTTGTCGGTTGAGACGATGTATAATAAAAATGAACTGATCAAATGCAAACAATAACATTTAAGGAGAGCTGACATGGTTTGTGCAATATTTAGTTGATATTATTTAGTGATACTGGTCAGCTATCTTATTCGGTATATCCCGTGATACACCCAAATCGCCTCTTGAAATTTTAACGGGGAAAAGAATAGAAACTAGAGAGATGAGATCATCTCTATATTGGCTAGTCAATCCGCGTTGCTTATCTTTGACTATTTACGGACTGAAGTCCATACGGATGCAAGTGCACTAGGTTACGGTACTAATTCAAATAGGAAAAGACGGACGCATACACGCAGTAGCTTTACAATATGTGCAGATCCAAGGTACTACTCCTGAGCTCGAGATACTTGCTGTTGTCAAGGCATTGCAACATCGTCATCTCATCGGAAAACATTTTAGGGTAGTAACTAACTGCAACGCCCTGAAAATTATAAGAGGATCTCTTGCCTAGGGTAGTGCGCTGGTGAATGTGCCTACAGGATCGTGATTTGACGTTTGAATATCGTAAAGGTTAGTTCATATCTCACGCATCGAAATCCTTTTAATAACCTCACGAATCGTAGTAGCATATGCTGCTGATAATGAAACTACTTGTACAAGGGCAGTTGAATAGTTTGCGATATATAAAGAAAATAAATCTTAAAGAAAATAATTATTAACATATCTCTATAGGAAAAAGTCGCGATTATTGTTATATTTCTAAAGACTACGTGTTGACCATATTGACGTGGAAACGTTGTCGAGTTCAAATTAGTTGACGGTTTCAAAGTAGGGTCCATCTTGTAAAGAAATACTATAGAGCACGGAATTGTTTGTTTAATGTGTAAACATGTTACCTTATACTTTATATCACGTTCCTCTCCACCCAATGTCCAGGTCCACTATACTTTCAATACCTTATGATGCAGTACATAAAATGTAACGAATACAAATATATTCTCGTACACTCAAATGCTTTCTCTATTGTTCTAACCTATACAGAGTCAAAATAGAGTAGAGTCAAAAAGGAATTTGAGTTTTTCTAATGTAATTTGTATTTTTGAGATAAATTTTATCGTAAGGTATTTAGGTAACACCTCGTGTAAGGCTTTGTGCAGCATCGAGTGTGTTATAGGATACACCTCGTGTAAGGCTTTGTGCAGCGTCGAGTGTGTAATAGGTAAGCACCTCATATAAGGCTTTGTGCAGCATCGAGGGTGCTATAGGATACACCTCGTATAAGGCTTTGTGCAGCATCGAGCGTGTTATAGGATACACCTCGTGTAAGGCTTTGTGCAGCGTCGAGTGTGTATTAGGTAGCACCACGCATAAGGCTTAGTGCAGCATCGAGGGTGCTAAAGGATACACCTCGTATAAGGCTTTGTGCAGCATCGAGTGTGTTATAAGATACACCTCGTGTAAGGCTTTGTGCAGCATCGAGTGTGTTATAAGATACACCTCGTGTAAGGCTTTGTGCAGCATCGAGTGTGTTATAAGATACACCTCGTGTAAGGCTTTGTGCAGCATCGAGTGTGTTATAAGATACACCTCGTGTAAGGCTTTGTGCAGCATCGAGTGTGTTATAAGGTACACCTCGTGTAAGGCTTTGTGCAGCATCGAGTGTGTTATAAGATACATCTCGTGTAAGGCTCTGTGTAGCGTAAAGTGTGTTATAGGTTACCTCTCGTATAAAGCTTTGTGTGGCTTCTATGTATACAAGCTTAGATCAGATTTAAATTAGTCCTTGTGAGGCAACGTGATCCTACTTCCAAAAATAAAATGCTTACCACTAACTTATGGTTCACAGGTTGTGAAGAGTCACTGTTGACTCGTCTCCGAGCAATAGCCCTGAGAATACTTTCAGCCTGGACAGAGCGCATAAGATTAGCAGTCGGACCAGACGACGCGCCGTGACCAGAAAGCATCGGGGACGATGCTCCGTCAGGAGAGGCCGTGTTAGGTGTAACTTCCTGTGGTGGCGCCACCGTCGTGCGGCGCGTCTATAAAAGGCTGCGAAACCCGGTGTGCGGCCTCTCTTTTGGTCGACAGACGTGCTCTCGAACGAATCTCCGTATCATACCGTGTTTGCTTTATAAGTTCTTTTACTGATTTTGTTAAAATTAATTATACGATTTGTTATAAGTTTCTTTTATTTAATTAAATTTAGAGGATACTCCTAACAATATGTATATTATGTATGTACATAGCTATTATAAATTATTTTATCAGTGTTATGTACACTGATAAAATAGTAATCCTAGTCATTTATAAACGTGTAACTTTAGATTGCAAAAACAAAACGTCTTTTATAAGAATAAGATGTAGTTTAGTAATGATTGAAATACTTTTAGGTGGCAATCCATGCGGAGAAAACGAGAGATTCGTAAGTTGTTACTCTGGTTGTCCAACGGATTATTGTCCAGTGGACGACAGCCGTGCCATAGTTATATGTGAATCGTTTCCCTTCTCACCTTGTCAGTCTGGCTGCGTATGCAATTTGAACCACAAGAAGTTAAGCCGTGAAGATGATCGATGCATTGTGTCTTCCGATTGTCGTAAGTTCATTATTATTACAATAATAAACAATTTCCAGTTTTAAATCTGGTACCTGAGTATTGTGGTTTGCAAGGAAATCATACTTGTCATAAAATTGCATTATTATAATATGTTTTTATAAAACACATATAAATATTGAATATCATTTATAATACAAATATTTTTTTGTATTATAAATGATATTCAACCTATAATTTCTGGTAACAAACTACAAACTGAAAAATTGTGAGTGTTTGTATATTGTTAAATTCTTATACATGGAAGACATAATTCTATTTTATTAATATTTTATATCTTACGAAAATACAGAGTGTACAAATGGTTTATTTTACACACAAAGCAACCAGTTGTGTTCAGTAAATGTTAACAAAATGTTTATTTATTCCGTTTTTTTTTTTATTTTCCATTTTATGACAATCGTGTTAATGATCATATTGCCCCATGCTCTTTTATTAATTTGTTCCATTATAAGAAAATGCAATTATCACTTATTCTAACTATTATTATCTCAGCTCCTGTAAACTGCACAAGACCTAATGAAGAATGGAGCCCATGCCCTTCAGATTGTTCGGGCGAGTACTGCGACAGTGCATATGAAGAACCAGTTGTATGTAACACTCTGGTATTGAATTGTCAACCTCGTTGCACATGCATTAAAAATCACTTTAGGAATGCAACAGATATTTGTATTCCTGCGCATGAATGTCGTGAGTATTATGTTCTTTTATCATGTAATTTGATAACTTTCTATTCCATTGAGTTCAATGTGCAAATTAGACCTAGAGTCTAATGTGTCAGAACGATGAAATACTTTTAATATCTCAAATGCGCTTTTGGTATGACTAACTAATTCAATAATATTCCAAGTTTTAAAGTTAAACAATTATAAGGTTTAATACATTAGGTTAAAATGTCTATATATTATTAGTTAGAGCCTTTGGTAATGCATTAGAAGTGCCATGATCGTTACCAGTGTATTTGTGCTGTGCAGAATGCTGTCTTATCGGTAAATTACAGTTAACACTTTCCACTCAGTGTTTGGTGACAGTGGCATGTTCCTCTACAGTTTCTTAAAAAGAAGTAAAATAATTATATTAATATTTTTGTAGAAATATATAAAATACACGATTTTTTTTATTTTGTACACATATTAGAGATATTTAAATATCTGTTACTGGAATAATAAACGAAGTTTAGCATAAATTTTATTGTAAATATAGATTCTCAAACCACGCTTAACGGTTATTATCATTGGGATGTTAACATAATATGGAAAGTACATTATGGTTCTATTTTGGAACATTTTATATGTTCTTTTGTATTATACAGTTTATTGTAAAATTGGTATACATTTAGGACAATTTTCTATAAAGCGATTGCAAGATTAATTTAAAGCGGATCATACTAATATATTATGTCTGCTTATAATAATAGCATATATATAGAAGAAGAATAGAAGTAATGAAGCACCTATTCCTAATAGAAACTAATGAACAACTGTTTAATATTATTGCGTGTTAATTGAATTATAAGTATGTATAGAAATTCTAACATTATTTCAACCCTTATAATATGCCTCTCCGTTCTATCCCCCGTCCACCCTGGTGATTGAAATTACGACGGCCTGAGCCGAGGTACGAAACCCCAGCGGTGCCCCGAGACTAAAGTCATATCCGTAAGACGAGAGTTGGCCTTCAGCCGCTCCATAAATCCTTCCGTAGGTTTGGAGTGCCATCAGCACTCGCCTCCTATTGTTCGGTGAAGCTGTAAAGGCCAATTGCGGTCAAGAGAATTGAGTACCTAGTCTGAAAAAATCCTTATAATACATGATACAGACGCAGCAGCTTTTAGTGATTTTCTTAAATTCAATAATGCATTGTAATTATATAAACTATATACTTATGTGTTTTTCTTTAATTTTCAGCCAAGAAAGAAACTTCACCGGCATCTAGCAACATACAGAATTAATTACATTTCAATTGTCTATTTTTATATATCTACTATAAATTCATCAAATTTTAGTTCGTACATTATACTTGTACGACAATTAAACAATTTTGGTCAATACAAGATATTCATGTAACAATAAATTTTGAAGTTGGTAATGTAATTTTATTATATAATGTAATTAATTATGAAATTCAATTCAACAATCTAATTTCGAAGAATTAATAGAATCATAATATTTATAAATGTCACCTGCAGAGGTATAGAATTCAAATTTAGATTAAAATAGAATTACGAATTAATTCCAAATCCCTTGCTTTACACTATTATTTTCCTTCTCAAAATAATGTAATATAAAACGACCATTCTGATTTCAATAGACGACACCCTTTGTAAATTGTTGCTTTCATTAAAAATACTCCTAAATATAATTAATTGATTCCTCTTTTTCATCAGAATTCATTAAATATTGACCTAAGATTTTTAAATAAATGAACATAGAAAGGTGCATGCTCTAACCGTATGTACTAGCAGGGCACGAGTGGTGAATGATAGGATGAACATGAAGGTTTAATTCCGATGAATTCACTAGGAATTAACCATAATCATTTCCAAGATGTACACTTCTATCCAGATTTAAATTACTTATTTACCTATTTCAAAAACTGTAAGACTTTCTTCATTTCATATGAATAATTACTTGTCATGCAGGTACTATAAAGACAAAATACAAATTTATTTTCATAACTTCAAACATATATAGCAAAATAAACAACCTGTAAAACTATACCAACTTTTAATAAGAACATACAAATTTATATTATGTTTAATTGAGGCGAACTAATTGTAAACCTACCTTATAGAGAACTAATTGTATTGTTTCATAAACTTTTTCATAAACTTAATAAACAAAAATGTTCGGTAAATGAATAGCTGGTAGTACGTTCCATTAAACTCTTTTCCAAAGTTGCACAAAACGATGACGTGATAGGAATCAACTAGGGCTTACGAACTGAGCTTACAATTTATAGTTGGAATCGGCTTTGGCCCGTAAACCGGCTGACTCGACTGATGATTCAAACTTTATCTAATATTAGCGTAATCTATAAATGCCAACCATTTTAATGTTTTAGGCAACTGAGTATATAAATAAATATTTAATAAAGTATATAAATTTTAAAATGCTAGTAAATTTAGAATGTAATTCTACAGTTTCGTCCGCAGGGGATACGGTGTTTAATCGAATCGATATATCTAAAACCCTTTTACCACACGTGATATAAATAAATATAGATTAAGTGTTTAAAAATAATGTACAAAATTAATAATACGTCTGGTTTAATAATAGCATAGATTTTTAAATATTATGCTGGAGATAGATATTATTATAAATAAATCTAAATAAAAATATTTGTTATATTCTCATAGATAAAAATATTTTCTCTGTCGCCTGTTTCGTTAATGACATTGAAAATATGTACAACCAGTTAACGTCTTAATTAATTATTAATCCTTGTTGGAAATTTCTAATGACACCTCTGTAGTCCACTTTGCTTGAATACAATAACCCGAGAATTTTCAAAGTCATCAAACTTTCAACGTAAAGACTGCGACTGGAAACTTCGTTGAATGTTAAAGCATAAAATTGATATTTTAATATTCCCCTGTTGTCAGTTTGAATCAAATTTCAAAGTAATCTTCGTATTATTTAAGTTTTCTTGTGAATATACGAGATTTAATACCTGCCCGCTATGAAATTCATCGAAAACTTAACTAGGGGTTAGTGATGTGATGTGTATCGATTTGTTGACTCAGAATTAACTTAAGGTGATTCGAACTATTTACTATTAAAAGACGATATTTATACTAATATTAGATTTCATGGATTCTATAAAATATAAACAATTCCAGATATAGCTACAATAAAAAAATCTTAAAAGTAAGTTGAAAATATTATATTATTAAGTGTAAAATATTATGGGTACTGTTTTTATGCTTTTAAGTAACTAAATTAAAATAAATGAACAAAAAGTCGTACCTCGCATTAATATAATAACATTATAAATTAAGGTCGCTTTAGGGCTAAGAAGCGTTTATATATATTTTAATTTTCCTTTCTTACTAATATTAGAAACGTGCGAGTTTGTAACGATATTGAGCTAGTTGTTAGTTATGTGTATGTTAGAGCAGTATGAAATTAAATGAACTATATATAGTATAATGATCGATTTATATGTATATGTAGAAGATCTATAGAAGTAAGTTGTACAGAAAATAAATAAAAAAAATACAAAAAATAACAAAGTACTTAAAAGTAGGTGTATTTACTGTAAAAGTTTAAATCTTAAAATAATTGATAAGTTCGTTACATTTTGCTTCAAGACGTTGCTTGAATTCAAACCATTAATATTATGTTGAGGCGCTGAAAGATACGAGTACGATACATTAAATATTCTATGATACATGTGCAAAGTACTAACGTGCGTTTCCAATACTTTTAATTTGAGTGTTTTGCAAGAAGAGTCATCACCTCACTATTCCAAGATTATTTTATTAACTCTAGTCAATTTTTTATTATTCACCAAGTTTTTTCCTACTTTCAGAGTTCGTAGTGCAAATGATTCATTAAAGAGAATTTTTTAATTTTATGTGCCTTTATATACAGAAATTACTGTCTGACTTTTTTTATAGACGCAGCTTTTAAAACTGTTTTACGATCAGATGGTTTCATTAACACCGAAATGGTGGCGTGAAACTTTAAAAGTCGATAATTAAAAAACTTCTTCAATTTAATTGAAATAAACAATTTCGTAAAGTTATTTTTTTGTATTAATAAAATAATTGACGTCATGGAGAGTTCAGTACTTTCCACATTTCATTAATTGTGTAGCTAGGGGCAAACCTCGCCATCTGTCGGATTCTTTTGATTTGGTATTTGCTAACTTTCCGGTGATGTTTATCGCCGGAAAGAGAGGGAGTCAGTCAGGTATGAAAATAGGCTTGCAATTCTTTCGGGTAAGTTTAATTTAGACTGATGACTATTATCCCCACTAATATTATAAATGAAAAAGTGTATCTGTCTGTATATCTATCTATGTATGTATATTTTTATCTGTTATTTTTTCATAACTAAATGCCTGAATATCTCAATTGACTTGAAGTTGAAATGAAAGTAGAACAAGATGATAAATATATGTATACAATTTAAATACATTTTATTTTAAAAATAGTCTGACAGACTGAAATATTAAACAAAGTTTTGCAGATGTCACAGGTCAGTGGCCTATAAGTACTAGGTTCACAACCCTTATAATATATAAGCCAACAACTTAAAATCTTAAATTTTTGTAACAAAAATTATTCATTATAAAAATAGTCAATTATATTTGCTATTACCAAGAAATTAAAGACTTTTGTATAGTCCTGTAAATTGGTTTTGCTATTATATAAAGGTATACAGTCGATACCTCTGTTGCCTATACAAAATGGGCTTCTAATCCGGATCTACATAGGCCTAAAATGGCTACTATAAGAAGCCGTAACGTCAGATTAATTTGTCTTACTGGTTTCTCGTTCGCAATTGACGGCCTGTCGAATTGTAGTTCGAAACTACATAATTGGTTAGGAAAAATGTTATTCCCCCAACTCTAATTGACTTTGTCGGGTCTTTGTGCGATTGTTTGTCTTATACTTAATAGAACTTTTCCAAGTAACGCTAATTTAGTCAACGGTCTGCAAACTGATTTGATACGTAATTATTTTGTTGATTACTTGATAATTGGAGGTGACGACGTCAATGTTCATTGACAATGAGTTTAAATTTTTTTTTAATTCTTACTAATTTTATAAATGCGAAAGTAACTTCGTCTGTCTGTCTGTCTCTCTCGCTTTCACGTTAAAACTACTGAACCGATTTAAATGAAATTTGGTACACTCATAGTCTAGACCCTGAGAAAGGACATCTAGAAGCTTGAAATTAACTTTTGTGGCTGTTGATTAAATACAAGTAAATATGACATACAATGTTTGTAAAAATATTATCCTTAAGGAGGTAAAAAATGTAACCTAAAGGGGATTGAAGTTTGTGTGGAAAATCGTTTAATTTTATTTGACTTTTTTTGCGTTAGATTATTGAATATTTTTTATTTGTTTGGTCGAGGTCACTACAACATGCGGATGAAGTCGTAAATTAGCGGATCCGGTGGTCGTTGCCCTGATTCGATAGGTAGCGCCATCTATTGGTCTAATACACAAAATTTAATTGGGTCCATCTATTTAAGAACTAAGTTTACTTACTTACCGAACTCTTTTCATGTGAGTGTGCATACTCAGTCAGAAAAAGAGTTATAGGCTTCTATATTCTTTTTGACTGATTACAAATATATTTTAGATTTATCTTATACAAGTTTCTGTCAAAGACCACGAATAAAAATATTTTTATTTGATTTGGTATATTCGTGAATCGAGATGGAAGTATCTACCTACCCTATAAGGTATTCAGCGTGATGATAAATAGTAAATACACATTTTTTTAACAGTAGAAAGTACTTGTTTTATTATCTATCAACGTATTATTTTCCACAACGTCGATCATTTGTCTCTTTAAAAGTCCCTTTGACATACTTTAGAACAAAACTTTCTTCGTACACTTTTCTTCTCTCGTTTTATTCATCTCTGAAACTTTCAACAGTTCCATTTTGTAGCTCATCCGTAAATTTCCTGTAACAAAAAACAATACAGTTTGTAATCAGGGAAACTTTACGTTTTAAATGATTTATAATGGCCGATAAAATTATATCAAGTCGATATAATTATTTTTTTTATTATATAGAGACTATTTATTACCCGTGACTTCTTCTGCCTTTTTAAATAAATGATGGCTATCCTCTGGGCTCTCAATCCAGTCGTTTGGTCGTATCAAGATGTCAAATAGACTTAGATACTTTAACATTTATAATCTTGGTATTGATTTATAAAAGTACGCAATAGTATATATAAAATTGAAACAAAAAATATTTTATTTTAAAGAAATAATATTTATATTATTATTATATTCAGCATATTTACTTTTATACAGTCATTATTACATCCATCTAAATCAAGTAATTCTTCTACTATTTTAAATCTATATATGTATAGAGTCTATCTATATATGTAGATTTAGTTTTTTTGAACTCCCGAATGAAAATAAAGCTACAGAATTTTAATGACCTCCATTATTACTCAGGTTATTCTGTGAATAGATAGCTTACCACCTAGTTGAATACAAACATCTTAAGGCTTGTATATGGTGTTGGGTATTGAGATAAGGGGAGATTCAGTGTACATCCAGTAGTCTCACCAAATGGATACGGGCTGAGAGGATGATGTAGTATAGGATTGTGTAAGTTTTATTGGAACATATCTCAACCGCTAAACAGCTTGTTTTGTATGCGTTTAGGTTGAATGGTAACAAGATAAGTAAAATTACTGGGCACGGAGGCATGATATCTTCGTCCTCCATAATGACAACTCATGAATGACTACGGGCGTGAACAAATGCCCGAGTGTTTTTAATATAGGATTATTGGATGTCATACCATTTACCATCAGGCGGGCTATAAGCTTTTTTCACATTTCAGTTATATAAAAAATAAAGCGTCTATGAGAAATATGTATTACATATTTCTATCGTGAATCAGCAAAGCGTGTGTTGTTTTTGTTTTTGTATCAAATACTAGTGTAATTTCTAAGAATGAAGCAATAAGTGTGACTAATTACACTTCTGGAGTGATTAATGCTTCCAAAGTGCTATAGATATCACTGTCATTATTTTGTTGTGAAGGGAGAGACTACGTAAGTAATATAATGAACTGTGAACATAGTATTAGTCGCTCAAATAAATTTTCTTTCTACCGTTTTTTATATTATTTCCTCTTTTTGCTAGTTGTCGCATTAGAATATAGGTACTGATTTTTGTTCAAATTCAAAATAATTTTATTCACGTAAGTCTATTATAGATTCTTAAAATATGTCAAATCTACTGTATTAATGTAATATATATACATATGTCAAATCGGAGTGCTTTCGAGCCAAGAAGAAATAAAACTCAGGTCTTATTTTTTCAAATGGGCTTATACATGTCTATTTTACAGATACATCTTTAAATTCAAATTAGTGACCACGGCATAGTAACTCTGTCAAAACAAAAGTGCATACAGACCAGTACTCAAGCACCACCCGTTCACGAGTATGACGTTTGATCCCGCCATTATTTCACTCAATGCATGTCAATTGGACCGTCTTAGACGAGTACTAGAATATGTGTTCCCACACACGGCACTGTTAATAATGGAGACTAGTGCTCTCATGCTATCAGGCAGATGCACCATTCCACTATCATCGATAAAAACAGTACTGCAATATATTTATACTTACAGCAATCTGTTGGCAAAACGCAATACTTCAAGTTCTCATGATAAACGTATCCATCTTTACAATCACAGCTGTTGTACCGGCATCCTGTGAGACACGTTTTGTTTATTTCTTTGTAGTCGGAACATGAGTTGCCGCAGTGGTTTCCGCAACCAGATGTTGCATTGTAGTCACCACCGCAACTAGCTGACAAATATATTAATAGGTATTTATTTTTTATATTATATCATCTTAATAATGTTATAAACCAGATAGTTTGTGAGTATAGATGGATATTTGTCACTGTTATTACTCTATCACGCAAAAACTACTAGGCTCCAGAGACATTTTATTTTTATGTATACAAATAATACATAGAAAACACTCGGACCTGAGTCCATACTGATCAAACTTGATACTATCAAAGTCAAATTAATTAATTTTATTCATAGATTCTTGTAATTCCTTACCATTCGATTAATCAAGCCACTTCGTTTAAGATGTCGCAAAAACTTAACTATGTGCATTTTTTTATCACACTTTTAACGAATGATAAGTCAATCCATCACCTAGAACTCAATGCCAAATGATCAATGACATCGAATTAATAAAAAAAAATGTGATTGATTATATTAATCAAACTCACTCTGAAAACATACATAAAGTAATGTATAAGGTCTTGTGTAGAATAAATTATTCAATTAGTAAGTACCATTACATACAAGTTTAAAATGTATAATTCACTTGATACTCAATTGGCAGACAATATTTCCGTAAAGTAACTTGTATATGTACATAACTACTTTAAGGTGTGTTATAGATGCATTGCAAATATTTTCCTCATTTCACAGAGAAACACTAATACAACAACTATGCGACTTTAGTATCATTTCCTTGCTAGTTATACTCATTTGTTTGTATATATTGTACTTAAATATTATTATTGATTCTCTTCTTTTATGCAAATCTGGCATGTTTACTTAGTATGATTACTATTAATACTTAGGTACTACTAATGCTAGTATATAGAATATAGAAATGTAGGTTTTTTTTTAATAATATCATGGTGGTAAACAAGCATTCGGCCATCTTCGACGTTAAACGTTACCGTAGGCTATATGGATGCCTAAAAATTTAGGGGTGCCACGTGCGCGTTTTTTAGGTAGACTGTAAAATTAGTCTGAGTGGATACCTCAGTCTCACATATTTCAGCCGTTAAGCATCTTGCTTTGTAAGCAGCGTTTTGTTTGTAGGGTGAAATTTTAGGATAAGACGTATGAAATCTGAGTCCACTGAATAGCAACGCATAAATGGTTTCACAGCTGAAACATGATAATATGATATCCGTAGTGCTGTTCATGTATATAGCTTAGCGTTTAGTAGGCCATCAGCTTGAAGACAGTGGATAAGTTTCAGAAGTATCGTATCTGACATTTTTAATTAATATACCGTTTATGACTAAACCTACGCTGCATATAGTTATTAATAAAATATGTTATTTAAAAATAGAACACAAATATACAAGTTATTCGACATCATCAGCATTAATAAGGTTTAATTTAACGGTAGCTAATTAATAAACTTAGTACAAGACAATAAAAATACGAAATGTATTAAAAATTAAGCATATTAGTTAGTACAGGCAGTCTCAGATTCCAATAGTCATACCTTAACACATTAGGAAATAACTTACGGCATTCATCTTTGGGTATGCATGTTCCATTAGTGTCTCTCACGTATCCATCGATACATACGCATTCCGGTCTGCATACTCCATTGGCGCCGATGCAGGGGATGGGTGAGCCTAGCTCGTTGCATGTCTTGGGGCCGCAGTGCGTACACTCCACTTGCATCTCATTGTGTTGGCATGTTGAACGTTTTACTATTTGGACCACTGAAAAGATGGAGAGTATCCATTAGCTCAGAGTATTACCATGAATCAGTTTAGTACATAATAAAAAAACATATATTTCCTCTTTATAATATATATAAAATAAAGTATACGATGCTTTTGGCATGGTTTAAATATTATTTTAAAAATTTAAATCGACTTTATTAGAAAAGTTAAAATGTTCTTATTGTGAAATTTTTATGACTGTAAACCTAGGTTATAGTATAATCACAGATAACATAATATGGTATAATATATAATATAGGTTATTAATACATAAATGTAACTTCTTAAATTTCACTTAGTATATTTAAAATCATTATAAATAGAGATGAGATCGCTATCGCCTCTCAATTTTTTGCGCTTGTTATTGGTGTTTGTTTATCAATAGTATAAAATGAGCCCTACAAAAGAGGGTAGTAAGTAAGTAGACCAAGGTTTTCGGACCTTTAATTCTTTAAAGAGATTATACATCTTTCCATAAATTTATCAAATAAAATCATATTACTATGTTGTCATCGGACACTGTAAAGGACAAAGTGACTTTGTTGTATGTTGATTGCTGACGTCCTGAATTTTGATGTATCTTGTATGTGCCATTTAATAATATCAAGTTTATGACTATCACAAACATTGCAGGTTTATGACTATCATTATTCATTTCCATATTACAATTATGTCATACGAACGCTCTTAAATTTGATGAGGTGAAATAATATAATAGATACTTTAGGTGAGATATGACAGGGTATTTCTTTTAACTTAGATACTTTTTATTAATAAAATATATAAGACGTGTCGTAGTTTTTAATTAATTAATTATTAATAATAAATAATTTAATATAACGAAATAAAGAGATTTTTATTTGTTTTAGTACCACTTCAATCACGTTGTTACCTATAATACAATACGTTTATGTTGTAACAATCGGAACCTGAGACTTATATTTCAGGTCATCATTTATTTATTCAAAGGATCCACGATAATATATGTGTAATAGAATTTTTACTTATATATTCAAATTCAAAAAGTATATACTATATATCTGTCATACTCGTGAACGGGTGCTGCTTGTGGAGACTGGTCTGTTTGGGTTACAAACACTGATTAGACTATTTGCTTTTGCAATAGCATATGCTCGTGGTCACTCTATTCTCCCAAATTTAAAATTAAAAATGAATCTGTATTATTGTAAACATTTATTTGAAAAGAATACGAGCTGAGTTTCTTGTCAGTTCTTCTCATCACGAAATCATTCGAACTGATTGTAGATTTGACATATCATAAGAGTCTGTAATAGACCTACATGAATAAAGATATTTAGAATTTGAATATTTTAATTCTTAAATTGTAAATATTAATTCCATGGTTTACTCGGTAGACTTCAGCATCAATCTTGGATCTTTGTTTTTGGAGTGATTGCTGATTTCAATATTAGACCGTGCGAGGACACAAAATATTGTCACATATTGCGAAAAAAGATATATTTGAATATATTGTTATTACAATACACATGTTTAAGTGCATTAAATTAGCGTGCAGGTACCAACAATTCATAGACAAAAATTACTAATGATAGCTACTTAATAATATTAAACCAATGATTCATTCATTTTTAAATTTAATTTAATGTATTAATAATATTTCTAGTATATAGTATATATACAGTTTAGTAACATACATTCTAGTATTGTTAATAATTAAGAATAATTATTAATGTCTACCTTCGCTGTGAATATAATAAATCCAAAACGACGAGACCAATGTAAACACTATAAACTTCGACATTATGGTAATTGACATCTGCACTTGTCGACAGTTAGACATAAACTGAGAACAATTTTACGCAAATTTTGACTCGGAGTTTAGAATCAAATAAATGTTTAATTTTCCTTTTTCCTTCGCAATGACTCTTTGATTCTTGAGTGCGAACTCAATGGATTTTTCCTTGATTTGATATCCTTAAAATAAATCACTAACTGATTGCTCGGTATCTTCTACAATCTTCTTAATAAGCGTTCATTTGGATGATTGCTTTTTGTGTTTTTAAGTAATAAACCGAGCAATTACATTTACAGTAATTTCAATGTTACGTTTTAATTATTTGTTAAATTGTATTTATTAGATTTAAATGGTTTTCACTTAATCTTGGAACTTATTCTTATAGTTTCGTTGAGCCTAATGGGAAAGTATATAATTTAAAATAAGAAAAAATTCTTAAAGCAAGGTCTAGAAGTGGTCGAAATCTGTGGAAATAGACATAAAAAAACATCCAAACAAATTGAAGATCTTCCCTCGTTTTTTGCCGTTGGCTAATAAGGTATAAAAATATATATCTTATAGGAAAAAACACAGTTTAAAATCTTAATAGAATCACGGCATTAATTACTAGATAAGGATAATAATTTGCTTCATCCTGAATTAATCTTAAATCTGCAATTATTTCATTGCAACTACAAATACAGATCATCATAAAATAATCAGTATTGTTTTGTACAACACCATTATTACCTACCATATTAATTAAAATACAATTCTTGATGGACCTTGTACTTGTTATTTCATTTTTCTTGTTATTTGTTTTGCGGTTTGCGTCACGAAGACCACTAGGAATTCCCTTATTTTGAACAGAATTAAAAAGAAGGTACCTTTTAAATTGACTGTATTTTCCCTATATAATAGGAGTAGTAGTAAGGTACTATTAAATTAAGTATATAAATATAAACATAACTATCATTATTAAATTTACTATTATTCATTGTTCATAGAAACATGCTGACATGTCTATATTCAAAGGTCTGTCTCTACAATTAAGTTTATAATTTTTATTGGTCCGAATATGCCATGTCTACATGTCAACATACTCGTATTTATATATGTAAATATATATATGTGTATATATTTTACTTTATATGTTTATTATTACATAAAGAAAATCATAATTTTGCTGTAGCAAATACTAAAATAAGCTATTTTTAACATATTTTTATTTCGTAGATACCTAAAAGCATTATTTTTTATTTTTATGTCCATTTTGTGAGCAATTTTAAAGAAATCTCATTCAGTTGGATACTGCAGCAAATCTCTCGCAACAAAGTTGTTCAGCGACCGGTAAAATATCTAAGGCGGCGAGCAGCGACAGCTTCACTTCAATTTACCGTAGTTGTCTCAGTATTCTTTCAACCTCTATCGGATTTCCTCTAGAAAGCCTCTTATCCTATTTCTTTGTTGCAACACTAGTTGACGTAACGTGGTGTTGCTTTTTATGCTCTATGAATTACTGAAGTGCTATTATTGAAATTGGATTTGAGATATCTTTAAATGATTTTTTAAAAGTTTTGAAAAGAAAGTTTTTAAATTAATACGTTTTTATGTATGTATGATTTTAATATCATCATTAATATAGAAATCATTTAAAGTTGCTAATATATAATTATATATATCCAATATAATTATGTACAATTATACTCAGTGAAGTCATAATTACAATACATGTGTAAACAGTTAAGGTGTAACACAAGTTTTCTGAAAATAATATATTCACTTATTGATATTATACTATTATAGGTAGAAGGTACGTAGACAGTTGTTTCGATATTTTTGATGAAAATAGTATAGGCTAATATAGGTTCACAAGTAACACACTAACAGATTTATACAATTAAAAGTAAGGTAGGTATTGATTTTTCAACAGATACCGGGGAGATTTGTTCCGGGACCATTTGCCGCACAATTTCACACGAACATCAAAAGGAAAGAAAATACTATCGAAACCTTGTTGTTCGCAAACGATCACGGTAAAAATCTTTTCTATTTGCTTCCTATATAAATTGACATACAAATATATTTGCATGAAGGAAACCAGGAGTTGATGTAATGTATTAATCCTATTATGGACTGACAAATTATAATTTTATACTAAGTTTCCAAAGTTTCTTCTGAACAGTATAAGACTTATGCTTCCAATAATTAAAATTAGATTAAACCTTTGATATATCTTTTAGAAATCATGACATGTTTCGCCATTTTCTTGGTCTGTTCATTGGTCACGTGTACGATTCCCAACTATATTGTATTCATGAATATGACTGTTTGCATTAATCTGTGTATTTTCTATGTATATTATGTATGTATTTTCTAAAAAATATTGTGTTAGTCCTAGTTTACCTATCCTAGTTTACGACCCGACCGTGTTTCCATATTTATAAAAATGTGAATTTAAAATTTAGATATTTGTTAATAAATTATGGGAGAAGGACCAAAAATATGAATATAATTATGCAAACACGGGTTTTAGGAAGCAATAATATAATATTTGTACATAAAGTATAATAATTAGCAGAACAAGAACTGACAATATCATATATATTTTTCTATATAAAATAATAGACAAAATACATAAATAATATACAAAGAGGTGCGTCGTGCACAAATATAGTTAAGTATTTATATCAGTTTAAGGACTTAATTCACAAGGTACACAAGCTCTGCTTAGTTTGAGACTAGATGGTACTGCATGAATTGTCCGGGGTCATTATTATTATTATTTATCCAACAGACATACTCACCCTATACCATCAAATAAGTTCGGATTCAGGATTAAATTATAAATTTCAATTAAATATATTGTCATTAAGCTAATAGTAACCAATTTGTACCTAATAGTTACATAAGTAATGCACAAATTGACAAGTTTTTTTTTAAGAAATTGAACTTCTTACAACAAATGAAAGTACATTTGTTCTTCGAAGGCTAATTTCTTTTCGAGTTTCCGACTGCCAAAACTTTTGTCATTGTTTTGAAGTAAATGACAATTAACGTAAACTTTTGTTTTTAACTACATTATCTGATGTCGTCGTAAGATTCTTAATTACCAGCAAGGGAACATTACATTAGCAATTTTGCCTATTTTTAATCTAATTCATAACGGTGCTAGCTTACTATATGTTTTATGTGCATACGTTAAGTTATATATTCACTAATTCTAAATTGATTAGATTTTCTGTCTTTTTTAAACGGTCAAAACAGAAGCATCTAGGTTCTGTAGTGACCGTTTACAAAATTGATTATGCTTGAAATTGGTTTATTAATTTGTTATTACTTAAAAAAAAAAAATATTTTCGTATTTTATTGTGATACACATAAAACAATTAGGAACACTTAAATAAATTAAACTGTAAAGACCCAAAAGTTTATAGATTGAAAAGTTTTCGTGGAGCTACCAAGAACTGCCTACTTTTAGTAAGAAGGTGAGTACTTAAATGTATTTAAATTGACGATTTTAAGAATTTCTGTAGTGTCATATCAAAAAATTTATAGAAGATTCTATATTTTTTCTCTCTTATTATTTGATCACTCACAGTTCAATCACATTTAATCTAAAGCTACCAATCTATCCATCAATCAGGTATTATCCTAGTCCGGAGGCCGATGCTAATGTAAAGAACTTTAAAGTATATTTTGTAAAAAATACATCCATCAAGTCGGCTAGTAACCAGTTATCAACTGCTATTTAATATAACATTATAAAAGATTAACTTACTAATCCAACATCACACAAGAAATAATTACGAAATATAAATTACTTAAAGTAATAAAAAATAGTAAAAATTAAAAAAGGCAATACGAAAATTATTCAAAAATAATTTCAAGCCCAGGATATTGTAAGAGCCAAACCCTGGAAAATCAACATAGCGCCGTCTAGTCCGACAGTAAGCAGTTCTCGTGTTATGGGTACTAGACAATTGACATAAATACTTGGATATATATATTTTTAAATACATACATAATATACATAGAATACACTCAGATCGATACAAACTCATGAATACAAATGTTTGCACCGTGCGGGGAATCGAATTCGCGACCATCGGAAAGTGATGTGTTAAACCACTAGACCATCGAGGCCGTAGAATAAGTTTATGTAATATCTTTATCTTGCAGAAAATTAGTAGATATTTTCAAATGTTTTCAGAGATATCCATAAGGTAGTGTAAAAAATCATTTCAATAACGTGAGTTTTCAGAAAAAGAATTAATGGAACATAATTGATCCATCCCTTTGGGCTATGATGTCGTAAATAGTCACACAAATACACAGACAGACAGGTACAGATATATATAAATGTGTAACACACCTCTTTTTTGTTAAAAATAGTGAAATAACAGTATAAACTCGACACCGCGGATTACAAAACTAAATTATTTATTTTCAGTGACAATACATTTTTTCATTGCGCCTCTTTCATAACTAGGCCGTTACAAATTGCACCACTCGCCACTCGATGCAATTAGACATGGCTCTAGCGCTGTAAAAAATGGAGTGAGCATTTTCAATGTGAAACTTTATTATGACGAATGGAAACTTTTAATAATCCTGAACGACAAGAGGCAACTGTCCTAATCGGTTGGCGAAAATCGAAAGTTCAGACTGGTTTAATTTTTTATTTAAAAGCACTTTTGTTTCGTCTCACATCTATATGATTCTATTTATTGTAAAAGGTAGCATTTTATTGATTTTTTCATATATTATTAGGGCAGAATACGACTGAAGATATATATTATATGAAACATGCGAACATAATATTTCTGTCGTTACATTTATATAACTAAATGACTAAACAGATCTTAACAAAGTTGGAGGTGAAGATTGATTGTACGGCGGACAAAATTATATAACTATCATTTTTTATTATTGTCTCTACCATTCATTTCGACCAGCAATTTCAGTTGAGAAGATTTGGCAAGAAACCCAACTAATCTATTTTTTTATAGAAAGGTAGAATATACTAGATACGTAATAAGTTAATCTAC